TTCTACTTTCTGTCTCTGTGAATTTGATTACCCTAGGAATCTCATATAAGTGGAATCATACAGTATTTGACTTTTTGTGGCTGAGTGAACACTTTTTAAGTAATACCTACACATTCTGCATTTAGAGAACATGTGCAGGAACCTCTTGGTGCCAGAAGCATACGGAAGTAGAGCAACAGCCTTCCATCCTTGCCCTTTTTGTGCAAGTACCCAAACAGCTTAGACCTATTCTCCAGTCTGATGAAGAAAGGCTTTAACACATTATATATAAAGAAAAGAAAGTAGCAAGTCTGTTTATTATTGCTTGTAGTAATTTATATTTGATAAGACTCACAGAATATTAGAACTAGAAAGGATGTTAGAATCATCTGGTCCAACCAGTGTTCTCATTGTACAGATGAGGGAAAAAGACACAGGTGGGCCAAGTGACCTACAAAGGCAATAACAAAGGAAACAAGTTTTCTTAGTTCTGTGTACTTTTCCTTACACGTGTAGCTAATTATGTCCTTGACTTTCAGAGACCAACATTTATAGAATAAAATAAGTAAAAAGTGAATTTTTACTTATAACAGCAAATGAATAATAAATAACCGAAAAGGCTATGCCTGTCCTTGATTTTTACATTAAGGATGGTTTATTAGGGATATATATACACCTTTGTTTCATTAAAACAAAAGTTGGGGGTGTTTTTGTGTTTTTGTCTTTTTTGAAGATTGGCACCTGAGCTAACATTAACATCTGTTGCCAGTCTTTTTTTTTTTTTCCCTCCTCTTCTTCTTCTTCTCCCCAAAGCCTCCCAGTACATAGTTGTGTATTCTGGTTGTAGGTCCTTCTGGTTGTGGAAAAATCTGTTTAATGGGACTTTTGATATGCTAAATCCCTAGCCTGGGATTTAATTCTGTAATATTAGATTTTTTCTTGCACTACAGCTCAGTGTATAATAAAACCTAGAATTGATATGTCTCGTTTTATATAAGCATTTTTTAGTGTGTCAGTGTGTTAATTTGTGAATAATCATTTCTTCTAGAATTGGTAACATCATCCATCTATATAAGATTCAGCACCCTCAGAAAAGACTCCATAGCAGTCATCTCCATACTTACATAATTGTCTACCCTATCAGTTAAAAAAAATTCCACATACTTCAGTTATGTTTATTTATAAATGATATGTACAAACTAGTATACTAAGTTGTATACATTAAAAGCTTACACAGAACATACATTTTTTAAAAAGATATGAAAAGTAAATACATATTTTTCTTTTTATATCCAGTGGATCATTTTGTACACATCTTTCCTTTGGAAGTCAAAGGGTGTGGGGATATTAATAGTGATCATCATTTACCAATTTAATGGTACTCTAGCCTGTCATTACTGAGCATTAGAATGGTATAAAATGAATGAATCCAGTACAATATAGAATGTATGAAAGTACTCTCATGGAGGTCTTTGGAATGACAACTTTAAGAAGCTCTATAAAAATGTGATATCAAGTCAACCAACATTTATTTAGCATTTGCAAATGAGATACAATATCCATCTGCCAGGAAAGAGGCTTATATTATAGTTGGAAGGCATTTTACTTAGATGTATATATAGGTACTATGTGTACATGTAAAGATACCTGATAATTCAAGAGGGAATATAAGAAATATTGTAGGGACTGGCCCAGCGGCACAGTGGTTAAGTTCACACACTCTGCTTTGGTAGCCCGGGGTTCTCAGGTTTGGACCCCACGTCTGCTGACCTAGCACTGCTTGTCAAGCCATGCTGTGGCAGCATCCCACATGAAATAGAGAAAGATTGGCACAGATGTTAGCTGAGCAACAATCTTCCTCAAGCAAAAAGAGGAAGATTGGCAACAGATGTTAGCTCAGGGCCACTCTTTCTAGCCAAAACAAAAAACAAAAAAAAACGCATGTTATAAAGAGAGAGACATTCATGGAGAGGAGCAATCACTTTCAGTCTATGAGAGTCAACAAGGGCTTCAAGGAGGAGTTGCAATTTTATTTTATTTTGTGTTGATCTGAGCCTTATAATTTGAATAGACAGAAAGCCTGGAAAATATATAGAAGACAATGAGTTGATTCTTTTTATTGAAGCAGATGGTTTTTGTAAATGAAATTAATAAAAGGAAAGGTAAAGAAGTAGGATTGATTCTTTTGAGGAGGATATTCTTACCCAGGCCAAGCAGATTGGACTTTTCCTGTTTGCAGTGGAGAAGTGCTGAGCAGAAGTGTGATGTGATCAAAGTGGTGGTTTAAGAAGACAGAGCTGTTGGCAGTATAGAATATATTTTGATGGAGGGAGAAAAGAATTAGAGAGACCAGTTGGCAAGCTGTTATACAATTCTTAGTAGGAATTAACATTTGAGTGCCAGGCACAGTTTTAAGCTCTCTTCAAGTATTAAATTCTGTGAGGTAAGTACTGTTATTATCCTCATTCTACAGATGAGGAAACTGAGGCACAGAGCAATTCTTCACCCCTCCTCAAGGTCACACAGCTAGAACTCCAGGAAGTCTCTGTCCTCTAGCTGCTGCCATAGATTATTTGCATCTAAGTTAGAATTCTGGCTCTGAATAGAAATGAGGGACACATCCATGAAAGACTGAAAAGCAACATGGATAGAATTCAGCTGTCTATGTGTGTGGGGCAGGAGAGAAGTGTCAAAGATCAGCTGAACAAGTTCAGATGGATGGTAACATAAAATAGAGAAGTCAAAGTCAATTGACCCATCGGTTTTACTTACAGAAATTTGTCCTAAGGATATAATCATAGAGAAAGAAAAAGAAGAACAAAATTATTTTTAAAAGTTATAAGAATATTGATTACCGTATTTATGAGAGGGAAAAAATTGAAAGATTTGAAGGTTGTTACTAAAGTGTTAACTTTATTTCTGAGTATTTGGATATTCGGTGAAGCTTTTTAAAAAGTTTATTAGTATTTTCTGTATTTTCTTCACTAAATATGTATTTCTTTTATAATAATTCACTTATTTCTGAAAGGAGAATACTAGTTTGGGGAAAAGATTATTTTAGGGTTTCACTCATTCATTCATTCCTCAAGTATTTATGGTAGTGCTTACAATATGCTGGGAACAATATGCCAAATCGGGTCCTGGCTAGATGTTTGAGCTAGAAAGTGAAAAGTCTTTTCATTTCTCTTCCAGAAGCATTCAGTCCAGCAGGGAGAAAGACACACAAACAAGTGACTCCAGTCTAATGTGATAGAGAAAACGTGCAAGGAGGGGGCAGCAATTTTGGGGGAAAAGCCATCTAGATATGTTTGTTTGGATCTGGGAAGGTGTAACATTTAAGATATTTAGTTAAGTCTTGAAATCTGCCAGGTTGACAGATAAGCTGAAAGAAGTCATTTCAATAGAGGAAGCAACAATGTGTGAGGCAATAGTAGAATACTGAGATGCAAACATCCAATTTTGGTTAGGGTTAGGAGGGAGCGCCCTGCAGGAGACATCTGAGCAGTGGTGGTACTTGCAGCCTTGAAGGTGTGTGAGTCCTCTAAAGTAGAATATCTTGAAGAAAGCCTTTTTAAGCCATAGGAGAAGGAAGACGATGCCAGTGAAGGACCTAGAGAAGCGGAAGAGTTAGAATAGTATGACTGGAGGCCCAAGAAAGCAGAGGTGCGAATGGTCAGTGGTATCCTCTGCTGCAGACACAACCACTTTGTGATATATTTCCAGTCTTTGTCTTTGTTCTGTGTTTTTATTATTGTTGAAAATTATTTCGTAGTCTATGTGCAGTTTTATGTCTTGCCTTTTCAATAAGTGAATGAACTCTGGTTTATTTCCTTTTTTTACTTCCGGGCGTTTGGATTTTTCCCTCCACTCTAAGGAAACAAATCGAATTGTAAAGAATTCGGGAGAATGGCTTATAGGAAAATGAGTGCAGATGTAAAATGTTCAGAAAGTTAGCCGTGTACTTACTAAACTGAAACAGAGGTGAATTACTCTTTTTTTTTTAAAGATTTTATTTTTCCTTTTTCTTCCCAAAGCCCCCTGGTACATAGTTGTATATTTTTAGTTGTGGGTCCTTCTAGTTGTGGCATGTGGGACGCCGCCTCAGCATGGCCTGATGAGCGGTGCCATGTCCACACCCAGAATCCGAACCGGTGAAACCCTGGGCCAGCAAAGCAGAGTGTGCGAACTTAACCACTTGGCCATGGGGCCAGCCCCCAAATTACTCATCTATATTCTGGCATCTAGATCAGTGACTGTTATGAATGAATGAAGGAAGGAAGGAATGAAATTAAGAAATAGAGGTAGAGATATTAGGATCAATTCTAGGGGTTTTTTTTATGGTAGTAAAAACTTCTTTATACTTATATGGGTACAAGGGACAAATTGTAGTTTTGTTTAGCCTTGGAAAATAGGAGGGATACCTTTTCCTCTTGAGGGCGAGAAGGCATGGATTTTGTGCAGATGTTTTCAAGCTAGGAAAGAACAAGGAACCTAGGACCTGAGTAGACTTCATCTTAGTGCAGCAGTAAATGATGCCTGTGCTGCGTGAGAGTGGAGGCAAGGAGGAGGTGTAATCATAGGCTTAAGGAGAGTGAAAGCAAATTTTTAAATGCTTCTTTTGAGAAGGATGATGATGGGAAGAGCAGCAAGAGGTAAATAAAAGGATTGTTGAGCAGCAATGAGGACCCAGCTGGAGGCCAATAGGATGGTTATCGAGGTTAGGAGTGGATTGTGGACTCATTCCTGTCTGAATCAATGCTAGAAACTTAGATTATAAGAATTTGGATGGAAGACTACTTTTTTCACAGAATATACTGTTTTTATAAACTCTTAGATTCATAGATGTATTAAGAGATGTATTTAAATTCAATTCTTGATTAATAGAAAACAATAGAAATTTAGTGTTCATGTATAATTACATCAACAAAGTGCATAATAAGCACTTATTATGAGCATTGTTTCATAAACCATAAAACATATTAACCTCATACTTTCATTTTTAACAGTAAGAGGTGACTCACCTTCATTGATGAAAGTTACTGGTGGTCTCTTGAAAGGGCTTTTGGTGGGAGAAGTTGCCAGATCTGGTAGTGGCATTAAATCTCTAGGATAACCTGGATCCCTCTGTATCTCATTACTTCCCAGCAGACCAGGAGTATACTGGTGACTGTTAGGAATATGTTGTGGCACCACCTGGACAAGAGGAGGAGACACATGGGGGTCTTGTCGGGAAAATATCCTTAAGCACTGTTCTTCCAACAAAGTGATCATCACAGATTGGTTATTGACAAGATCAGTCAAAGAAGCATATTTCACCTCCAGTTCCCTGTACCTTGTTGCCATCTTCAACATTTCTGTGGTGACATTGAGGATTTTATTTTCCAACTGAGAAAGTTCAAGTGAATTATCCCTCTTACGGATAATCTCATGTAATAGTTGCATATAGAGTTGAGTAACACGAGAATTCATGTTACGGCTTTCTTTTCTCAGCAGCTTTACCTCATTCACAATGTTTCCATCTACATCCACCACCAGTTGCAGGACATCTATCTCCCGCTTCTGCCTGGAGAGCACGTCCTTCAGGTTTTCAAGGTCCATCCTGGTGATCATGTGTTTAATGGTACCTGCATCTTGTCCTTTGGTGTTGACACAAATTGGCCCTGTTATTTTTTGTTCGGGTACCAAGAATGTGTATGCACATTTCTTTGCTTCCTCTTTACCTTCTGTGGCGCGAGGGTATCTCCTCTGGGTTATTTTTTTTATTTTGAACTGTCCTCCTCTGCAATGTCCACTGCCCATTAGTAGGAAGAATAGCACACTTAGCGTCCAGATAAAAGCCTTCATTTTGAAATGAGGTTGTTTGATGTCTTTTAAAAAAACAAGACAATGAAGGGAAAAAGTGAAAAGAATTAATATTAATGTACTTTCGAAGTCAGTAGTATAAAAAAGCATTTAAGGGAAAGAGTGAGTATCTATTGGTGTTGATGAATTGGGCCAGAATTAATGCGATTGATTTCTTAAATGCAATATTTAGTGCCTTCGCATTTGTTTAAAAATTGGGTTTCAGAGAACAGCTCTCCAGCTACCACCTTATTATAATACTTTTTGTACCCCAGCTCAATGAGCAGATTCTGGTGAGTTCACACTGTGTGTATAAGGCATACTCTTAGGTGCTCTTGGGGCTTTTGAGACCCTAAGAAGGCAGCTTTCTTACCTTTAAAAGCTTGCTTACTATCATAAGACTCTGAAACAGGTAGGCAATGTTTGTAAGGCATGAATTAAAACATTCTTCCCTAACTAGTGTTAAAGTTACCCAAGTGACTTTACTAGTCAATGTTTTATTGTAAGCTTTCAACTAAATTGGTCCTCTCTAATAAATATACTTTGTATCTATCAAAGAAACATTTTTAGACCAATCTAAAGCCAGAAAGTTTTAGCATCTCCGTTGTTGTTTTGTAGCGCATTCTGTTGGGATTAGTGGGAAGTTTGAAGAGTGAGGAATGCTTGCAGTCATTACTGTGGTGGTTGTGTTTCCTAAATCATCATCATGTATGTGCTCTGAGCTTATAAATGATTCCGCGGGTTCATTTTTCTACCAGAGCTGCTACTGAACTGTATTGTGGTAAAATGTTAATAATTTTCTGCAACCATTACCAAAGAAGGAAACTATCTGTAATCGAAGAGGACTGTTGGAAAGTGCTTTAGAGACCATCTCACTCGAGCACCTCTTTGCACCAATGTGCGTGTTGAAGGCCAAGGCCACACAAGTAGGTAATATTAGAAGCAGGTCTAGAATTCGAGTTCCCTGGCTCTTCAGTCGGTGTTTATAGCAGTGCCACATACACTAAAGTGTGTGCTTGGAATGTTCCATTTTTGCTATGGCAGATGAGACGTTTGTTGTTTATATACAGTTTCTATAGAAATACTAGAATTAGTTCCAAAAACCAAAGCTTCTTCCTTTCTCTTCAGTTACCTCCCTAAAGCAGTAGCAGTAGGGGATGAGACGTGTCACTCCTTCAGCTTCGCGAGCAAGCTGCTGTGTAGAGCCCACCCTCCGCAGCAGTAGATACCCTAAGACAGCTTTTCTACCCCGTTTTCCACCCAAGTACTTGTTTTTTGACTTGAGAAGCCAGGTCCCAAGTTGATTATGCCTACTCTTAATAATAGCAGCACAATAATAACAATAGTTCATACTTAATTGTGTCCTTGTTAAATGCCAGGCATTGTTTTAAGACCTTTACATTATTAGATCATTTACTTCTCGGAACTATGACCCTCTGAGGTAGATTGTTACGATCCTCATTTTCAGATGAAGAAACTGGCATCCAACCTTACCCATAGTCTTCTGAGAAATGGAGCCAGAATTTGAACCTAGGCAGAAGATTGTAGAGTTCATGTTTTTCATTAACCACTGCATCGTATAACAATGTAGCCTATCCTGTTTTCTATCACCAACACTGTAACAATCCCTTATAGTTATGCAGTGCTTAACACATGTTAACTGTTTGTATTCAAAGCAACACTGTGAAGTAAGTATGTACCATTTTGCAAAGGAGTAAACACCTGGAGAAGCTAAAACACTCAAACGGGATTCAGATCTTCTACTCGTAGCTTTTCTAGACCTGTGATTTTTATCCTAGTCATGTCATAACTACAGAGGAGTCTTGACAGTGTGTTTCCTTTTTTTCACAGTCTTTTCCTGGTTTATATCTCTTTACGTTGACCCATTACTTAATTATGCAAAAGCTTTTGTGGACCATTTTTGTTAGGCTGTGTTTTCATCATTTTTATATCCCAAACTTTTCTGCTGTCATTCCTTTCCCTCCATATGCATTCTGTCAGTTGATAGTTATGTGTCTAACATGTGATTATGAATCCTCCCCAAAATAAAGGTTGTGTCAATGAAATATGGGCTCTTCCACTGTAGTTGTAAAGATGACTGCTACTTTCTAAAACTCCTTACTTGGGTGTATTCAAATGAGTAGTGTTTTCAAAATGAAGTGATAATGAAAATAAAGCAAAGAATGGATGGAGTGTGGAGAATTATTTTATTTTACTGATATAATCAAGATAGGAAGGATGAACATGGTAATATTCCGTGTTTATATCAGAGGCCCTCTATTGCTGACTGATATCCCAAAGCGTGCGTGGATGAGTACTTTTAGTTTTCAGTTTTTATACTTTGCCTTCTGATATCAGTAGGAAATTTAGACCTTAAGAATTGTCTATTTTATTTTTAAAAAGGCCTTTTGCTATAGTAGAGTTACCTATAACCAAAAACCAGTAAAAGATTTGTTTTATTTGTGGAGTCATGGAAGACTGAGGGCAGTAAAATAGAAACCATCAGCTTCCTGGGTAAATGTACAGCATTTCTCCTACATAATTCACCTGGTGCTCAGATCTACTCATTTCACTTTAATAATAATGGAAACTCTTAGATCACGACATTATTTAAATACTAATCTACTATGAAATAAGCTACCAAAACAAGGAAAATTCAGAAAGTATCATGAAACTTCAAAACAAGTAGAATTTTATGAATAATACTCTGATTGAACATGTTGTATTCCCACCAGACACAGATTTTTCTAGAACTAAGAGTATGTAATACAAGACTGTTGGTGTGACTTTGCCTCAGCGTTGTGGAAGAATGAAAATGTCAACTTCCGAATCTAAATTAAAAGGGCAGGAGCTTCCTTTGCTGTCTTCTGCCTTGGCTCCTTGTGGGCCCCATACGGTTAAATCATAGGTCAGTCACTGCCTACCTTGAGAATGGGACCTACTTTAGTATTTAGAGGAGGCAACTAAAAGTTTGCTTTTTAAAATAAATACAATTCCCTTATCCTTAGAAAAGTAATGACCTTGTTGTCACCTAAAGCAGAATAAGAAGCCACGTTTCTTAAGTAGTAGACCAGCTCCATCATGAGTACAGAACTGGTTTGAAAAATACATTTACCATTACATTTTCTGAAAACATTCTCTCCTATTTAATATTTTCCCACATATGTTCAGTTTTAAAAGTGAAAGATCCATAAATCTGTGTTACCTCATAAAACCTTTCTGTATATGTTAAAATTTTCCAAGGTCCCAAGAGAATGTTATAAATTAGTTACAGTATACTTAAGTTTAAATCTATGTCTCTGCTTGGTTTTTAGACAAAAAAGAAAGTCTTCCATGCTTTGGGTTAATTTTATTGGTACTCTGTCTCTTCGTAGTTGCTACGTTGCCAGCTAGTAGAAGAAATAAAAGTCAAGATTTACTTCCTTTCAGATGGTAAACACACAGAGGCATTTCACTGGCTGTGTCCTGCACTGCAAACAGCGTGGGGCGGTGAACTTACATTTATGAAGCATTGGAGATACCTCAGATAAAGAACTTCTAGATTGTGAATTATGTTCTGGGAAGAGACTTGGGGACAGTCTCATCCTCCAGAGATATTTAAGAAAGGGATAACTATTTATCTGCATGATTTGGGTTTCAGATTAAATGCTTTCCTAAGGCCTCAGTAAGAACTGAGGTTTAATGAGGTCCTGCACTTTTCATAGCTAACAAGAAAAAAGCAAGAGATAACATTATTTCAGATCCAGTGTTGCTTAGAAATTTTACCAGAATTTCTTGTGGAATGTGTTTAGCAGAGATCCTTCCAGTATTTAGAGTTTTGAATCTTTAAGGAAAGGACATGAAAGTAAAGTTGAAGAAATCTTAGCTTTACCGTTTTTTACTTGTTAAGGATTCTTACCATTAATATCTTTCAATTATCTTTTAAAAGGACAGAGGATCCCCATATCATAACTAGACTTAGATTTTTGGTGTTAAAGCTTACTATTGGTAACTAGTAATTTTATTTTTAATAGTTTTCTTATTACAGTTAAACAAAGCCCCCAGATAGAATATTGAAAGAAACCTCTTGTGTATGGTTACCAAAATTATTGCTATCTAAAAATATTATATATTTTTGGTCTTTTAATTAATCTATTTAAGTAATTGTCATCTTCTGGGTTCTTATTTCCTATGGTTAATGCTGACTACTTACATCATACTTCTGCCACATATTATTTTTCTCCTTAATTCTAACCTGTAAGCTTTCAGGGTTTTTTATGTATCGATAACTTTGCTTTCTCAAATAATTCCAATTATAGCAGTTTTAATTTCTGTTACTCAAGTTAAATTACTATTACATGTAAACCTGGAAAACTATTTAAAATTTTGAGTGTTAGCAAGAAATACCATTGACTTATCTTAAATCTTTACAAGAATTTCTGCTTAATATTTGCTTGTACTATAATTGAGGTATTATTGCAAAGCCTTTCAGTTATTTTTATATCTTTCTAGCTATATGAAGAGAGATTAATCTTGTTTACGACTATTTTCTTTAGTTTGTATCCCTCTGTTTTTAATTACTGTGCTACAAACCTTATACATTTAATGTTACTTGTTAAAATTTCTTTCTAGTGTCCCTAAAGCACTTATTTTCTGAAACTCGGCATGTATGCATCAGTCTATAAGCATATACACTAAATATCATTAAATCGGACCTCAAATAATGCATTAATCATCATAAAGTACATAGTGACCAGTTTTCACATAAAGTTGCAAAAGGCAAAACCTTTTTCAGATGAAATAAATTCTAGTATATTCCAAAATTCTTTAATAAGAGATTTTGAAATTTCTACTACAAATGTAAAATAATTATGCATTTTGATATACATAGAATTTTTAAGTAAAAATAAAAGAAATATTAAAATACCTTTTTGCATCTGTCGAGAGAGCAAACCCAGAAACTTGCTGCTCTTATTCTTGCTCTTAAAAATCAGTGGAGAAGTTTGCTCGTCTGTGACTTTAATGGCAACTGCATTTTTGTTTTGGACCGTTGAATCCAAGCTGTAATAAGGAACTTCTTTTTCTTCTTACAACACTAATCAATTGAATTTGACAAGCCACCTATGTAATTTTAAGTAGTATAGTGGAAGTTCTGGTCTGTGGGCTGTCTTTAATCCAGCAGAGAAAGCATTGTGGTTTTGCTCTGTCTGCCACATGGAGAAATGCAGTAACCAGCTGCAGCTGACCCAGATTGTATATACAGTACCCTTGAATAGTGATTCCCTCTCTTTCTCAGTAGACTCGAGTTCAGCCCACATATTACGTCACCAAAAAATTGCTGGAGACTGGGGGAAAATGTCCTCCTTAGGATTTCCTCTCTGTGGCCTTAAATAGGGGTGGGGGTAGTGGGATCAGCAGGAGGTTGAATAGCTTGGAACAAGGAGAGACTGTGTGTGCAGGTTGAAGGAAGGGCACCATCTGGAAACAAACTATCATAGTTCAGCGGGCAATTATAAAACAAACATTTTAGTCTGCCGGCCAGAGATCTTTTAAGTTGAATACTGAAAAAATAGTACTCAACTTCACTTAGAAGTAGTTGCAGGCTGATGTTTGTTTTTTGTTACAAAAGAACTAGAGTTAGACTTTGTTAGGAGGCGGCCACCTAAATAATGTAATACTCTGTGTAGCCTAGAAGAATTTTTAAACATTTTACTGAGTTGCCATTTCAGAAGATTTTAAACTTCTAAGAAACCTGATGTTAGTGTACTGTGTTATATCGTACTGTGTAATGTTTTTTAAGATGAACCTGCTGGTATATAATTACCAAAAATAAGTGGAAATCTATGTATAAAATTCTTTCAGAAATTTAGTACTTTTTAAACTTAAATCCTGGTGTTATATAATGCCACTTCCTCCTATTCCACAGCGTGACTCCTCCTGTCTGAGTAAGGTCATTCTTATTCGTTGATGTGTTGTGATCTAAAAGCAAACATGACCCTGGCCTGAGTGGGGGGGGGTGGGGGGGGGAAGAGTTCTGACTACCCACTAGCTGTGTGAACTTAGACAAGCCACTTTACTACCTCTGGCCCAGTTCTCCTGCTGTAAAATGAGGGGGCTGGACAGGGAATTAATAATTGAGCACTAACTCTGCTATTTCATTAAATCAAGAAATGTTGATTAAGCAACTCAACAGCTGAGGAAACACAAATTCAGCCACCTTAAGTGATCGGCTTAGTACTAAGTGGTAGAAGTGGGGTTGGAATCTGACTCCAGAGCACTGTGCCCCTCCGTCTCTCCCTGGACTGTGTGATTGCTGATTGCTGCTTCTAGATGCAACTCTTAAGCTTCTACTTCCTATATGAACGTGTAGCTTTCCCCTCCTCTTTTTAGCTTGTGCTGTTTTTCTCTTTCTGATAGGCTCTACCATCACCTGTTTGTTGATCCACATGTTTTATTTAGTCAGCTTGGTTTCTACCTTTTTTCACAGAATTGTTTCTTTAGATTCCTGTGACATACATAGGTATACCAGGTGTTGCAAACTAAAAGGCGTATAAAGACAAATGCTCACAAGAATGAAGCAGATAAATGTAAATAAATGAAATAAACCAGAACTAAGATAACAGGAAAATGAGGGTAATGACAAACTGGTGTCCTTGCCGTTAATATAAAAGGATCTGCACTCTTCTCAGGTTTACCTCATTGTTGCCAGATCTCTTCCATTTTTTAGGAAAAGAGAGTCATTTAAATATTTCCTGATTTTAAAAACATTGAGAGAGATGGCCGCCAGCTTGTAGCCTCTGATTTATATTATGCAGCACGTTATTGGACCATCCAGTGATTACGTTGTATTTGCTAACAGCTTAATCTGGGGAAAATGTGAGATAGTAAGTGCCTCCTGAGTTTTCTTTATTTGAGCAATTTTGAGATTTCTAGTTTTAGCAGTTAGTAATATCACTAACCAAGGTAGGAACTTGGAATGGCAGATCTTTAGGGACAGATAAATGTTAGTTTGATGTGTTAAATTTAAAATGAAAGTCAAGAGCCCAGATCTCTAGAGAGATTTGGCAAGTCACCAGCAATTAGGTAATAGTTGCAGCTACAGAAGTAATCCAGAGCAAGCACATGTAGAGTGAGATTACTGACAGAACCATGGGGAATGCCAGCGTCCAGGGAACATGAGGAAAAAGAAGAATGGAGGAGGGCGGGATGCTAGGAAGGTTCAAGCCAGTAGACCAAGGAACAAAGGGAATGGTAAAAATGCAAGAGAGATGTTTCAAGAGTTCATAAGGAGGTTGTTTATGCCTTTCCCAGAAGAAGTTTCAGCAGCGAGGTAGATAGAGCTTTCAGACTGTTAGAGTGGGTTGAAGAGTGACTGGATGAAATTCAACTGCCAAACGGATTAGTTTCTATAATCTATTAAGAACTTAGAAATCAATAAGAAAACGACAATCCAGAGAAAAAAATGGACAAAAGACATTTCATAGAAATATAAATATTTAACCTCATTACTAATCAAGGAAATGAAAATTAAAACACAAGATATCATTTTATCCTTACAAGATTGGCAAAATGTGAAGACGGATAATATCAAGTGTTAGCACAAGTGTGGATCAGTAAAAATTTATATACAATCAGTGGAAGTATGAATTGATATAGATTTGAAAAGCAATATGCTGCTTTCTTGTAAAGTTAAACATTAATATACTATATATACACCAAATATGTGTATATGTATATATACATGTATACCAAGAAATGTGTACAAGAATGTCTATAGCAACATGAGAGGAGAGGGGAAGTAATTCAGAAGTCTATCAAATAAAATGAGTAAGTAAATTGTGATGTGCTTACATATTAGTTTATTCTCAATTTAAGAAATATCAGCTACAGCCACATTAGACAACATGAGTAGGTCTTAGAAACAAAATGGTAGAACAAAGCAGTCACAGAAGACCATATTTTTAAAAATTTAACAAATATTTATAATCACTTATTGTGTACCTATCCTAACTTTACTGATATCATTTAATTTAGTCACATAAACATAAAATATGATTTTTTTTAAACTCAAAAATAAGCAAAAATAAATAATATATTGTCATGGATACGACATGTCTTCAAAAACACAAGGGAATAATCTTAAAATTCAGAGTAAAGGTTACCTCTGGACAGGAGGCAGGGAGATGACATAGGGAAGGAGCATAGATGATGCAACAGATTGGTGATGTTGTAGTTCTTAAGTTGACTGGTTGTTCACAAATGTTTATTATATTGTTTGATAACAACGATTGTTACATGTGTTAAAGTATAATTTTTTAAAATATAAAATCATGATTCTCACACCAGTACAAAATAAACACGTCAAAGGTTTTATGTAAATCATTACATTTATAAGGGAATCAGGAAGATTCTACAATCATTTCAAGGGAGAATTCAAAGTATCACACATACATATAGGCAATCAGGATTGCTGAAATGAATGTACAAATAGTTGCAAAATTGGTCAACATGCACAGGGCAATAATCAGTTACCTGCCACTGGACATAATTCATTAGCGTTTTCATGGACAAGAATTGGTATTATTACTAGTTTTCAGCAACTTCCAGAGTTGTAAAACAGCTCAAAAGGGCCAAAAGGGTGCACTGGAGACAGGACACCTAGTAACTTTTTTGCCTATTTCAGAGTCTATCACAATTTTTTCCGTTTTTCCAAATTTACACATGTAAACTTTTATGTGTCTCAAATATTACATCAAAAATAGAATGAAGGATAAAATAAGAGTGTACCAGTGTGTGTTTCTATTTCAAGGTGTTTGTTGAAGGGAAAGAGGCAAGAGTCCTTTGTTGAGTCATTTTGTTTTCTTAAACAGGGGATTTAAGTGTGTGCCTTGGTTCTGGGGAAGCAGCCGGTGGAGGGGGAGTGGCAGTGGAGGCAGCAGCGGATGTTGTAAAGGAAGCAGTGGCAGTTAGATTCAAAATCACAGTTCAGATTTGCAAAGAAAGGGGTTCTTCTTCCTCTGAGATTGGAGGAAAAGGAGAGGAGCTAGGCTGTAGATTCACTTGAAGTCATAAAAAAAGAAGTTAAGAGTCTGTGAAGAAAAAGAAATGTTTATGGTAGGTGGCTTAAAGCATACTTGTAAAGATTTACTGAATGGAGAAGGAGAGACACTAGGATAAGTAGAAGGGTTGCCATGGCCAGCCTTTTACGATGCACCAAGCACCTGCTGTCCTTTTCCTAGAGCACAAGATAGAGCAACTACCTTAAATGAGTTTGTAGTCTCAAACAGATAAGATATAAAAATGAGAAGGTTTAAATAACTGAAGAGATTATAAAGGCATAAATTATCAAGTGAATGGCATAGATAATGTATGTTTATAATAGAATGTAACCCAAAAAAACTCGATACAAGTGAAAGCTTTGAGAGCCAACTCTGTCACTGACAGTTTGCGTGACATTAGACACATCACCTTTAGTACCTGTGGCCCTCGGATTCTTCATCAGTGACAAGAGGGGGTTGGACTAGACAGTTTGTAAATCCGTTTCTTGAAATCTATGAGAAAACTAAAGAACAACTGACAGTGAACTGGATATAAGATATAATTAAATGGGCAGAGAGGAGTCCAGGAAACATTCAAAACGGAAGAACTGGTGTGAGAAACACAGGGCTTGTTTGGAAGGCAGTGGGCACATGGGTTTGGTTTCATTCACCCTGAGAGTTCATGAAAATAGAATAATGAGGAAAAAGTAGGAAAGTGTATTTTTCTCTCCAGCATTAGTTGTTTTATACACTTTACATGTGCATGGTAAACTCTCAGGGCGGATAATTAAGTAAGTGATCTTGCATATCCAGAAAGAGTACAACCACATTATTTGGGGGGATATGTTATTTTTGTTGATACAGAGAAATGGAGTCATGGGGTGGGGAGAGAGAAGGAAGGAGTTACTAACTCCAATATTTAGTCACATGAACTATTTCAGAAATCCAGTTGTTAATCTTTAAAACAAGACACTTCTACCAGAATGAGACAATTTTCAAAGTAGTAATTATGTCTCAAGTGACAGTTATCGACTTAAGGCTAGGGGCTTTAGAACTAATATTAAATAACTACCCTAGCCAGGTACTGGCTAGACTGGCTAACTTAACTTCTTCAAGCTATACCACAACTTGGGAAATAGGTACTAATAGGTGGACATAAAAATTGAGGTTCAGAAATTAAAATAACTGTCTTCATTATACCCAACTAGCTGGAGGCCCAACCAGTTCCAGAGCTCAGCTTCTTTCCATTTGGTCCTGTAGGTGCTGACATTTCTAACTCCAGCCTCAAACCATACTTTTAAATGGTATTATAAGAAGACATTTATAAAAAGCATGTGTTATTTATGTGTCTGACCACAACTGTATAGAAATCTAGGCCTCAATGGTCTTGTTTCAACAGTGCTGCAGTGTATTAGTAACAGTGTATTCTAAATATGCCTTATATTGGAATACAGCTATAAACTAGCTTTTTTTCCTCCTTCACTTTGTCATACTCTTCCAAGCTACAAGTAGGAAAACACTCATTTATCTAATTTCATTTCAGGTATCTATTTGTCAGATTTAACATACATTGATTCAGCATACCCATCAACTGGCAGCATTCTAGAAAATGAGCAAAGATCAAATTTGATGAATAACATCCTTCGGATAATTTCTGATTTACAGCAGTCCTGTGAATATGGTAAGTCTCTGGAGGAAGGTGCCAAGCCGTTATTCTGCTGTGAGCCTGGTGATGCATTCACACACATCTTGGGCCACTTTTCACACATCAGGGAACATCAATTTCTTACATCCATCCTAACATAAAGGAAAATAATGGTGGTTTTATTTCACTGTTTAGTATTTAGCATCTTAAGATCTTGCTTTTAAGAAATTGAAGTATTTAATATTTAAAATTTTAAGTTTTATCTTTTGCAATTCTGCCATTTTGTAGCAACTTTCCTAACATAATTTACAAAATTATTTTCCGTTATCTTCATCTCATTTGCTCTCCCAGATCTATCGTGTCAGCAGTTCTCATATTTTTCAGTTAGAGAAGGAGCTGAAACCCTTGATCCCAGGAACAATTGACTAGCTTTCTTGAGTCTGATATTGAGTAAATAATCATTTTTAGCCCAAGATGTATTTTATGGAAACACAAATATAGAAAGAGCTTACAAAAGCCCAAATTATTAGAAAAGGGTTTTGATGGGTTTTTTTTTAATGTTTTAAAATGTTTGGTACTTTCAGTTTGATAGAGAATAAAGGTAGCCTATTTATGTATAATATATGTGGTGTTAAAAAAGCAGTGAGTTTACATTATCCATTTGTTTAAAATAAATTTGTCTTAAAGCTAACTTTACTTATAGGCATCTATATACTTTGTTAAAAGTGTGTGTGGGAGGGGAAGAATGTTACTGAAAGTTAAAATAATAAATAATCTCTTATTTTGTCCTTTTCTCAGTTTTTTTTTACCATAACACCAAATTGTGATGTTAAATTAATTTTATTTGAAATTTCTAAGTAGGGGAGAAAAACCACATTTACAAATGGGAGTCAGCCTCCTTTAAAAAAAAACAGTAATAACTGCCTTTACGTCTTGTGTTTACATGAGGTTTGAATATAAATCGCAGTGCAGTCTCTGATTTTTTTGTATGAAATTTCTCAGATATATGAGATTTTATAAATGGAGCTTTTTTTTAAATCTTATACAATCAAGATGCAGCTGTAATTTTCTAAATTACCTTCAGTTTTACATTAAAAAAAATTTACCTCAGTAATGTCCTAGATTTAATTTAAATTTTGGTGCCATGTGGCCTTAATCTCCCTTTAAATATTTTTTTTAGCTTAAGTTTTACAATTAAGATGTACTTTATCATATAATTAATTATTTATCCCATTTTGCCTAGATATTCCCATGTTGCCTCATGTCCAAAAATATCTGAACTCCGTTCAATATATAGAAGAACTACAAAAGTTTGTAGAAGATGATAATTACAAGTAGGTTGGATCTTCAGAAGTGGTTTGTATAACTTTGTCCTGTCCTCCACTCTTTCATCCCCATGTACTTGAATATCTAGATCTTACATAGTATCCTACAAGTGCATTATGCAATGGTAAAGGGATGTAAGTGTATTTCTTTTTGATTGCTTGATACCGTTGAGCCAATATAAAAATACCTCATCTGATCTTTTACTAAAAAGTATTTCATCTTTCTCAGGTTGTTGAGAGCTGATGTTTGATAGTTCTAGCTTAAATTTCTTCCTTTCCCTCTATATTCAAGCACTGAATCATTATGGAATTTTATCTTTTAAGAGACTGAAAAATTAATGAAACAGTCTACAAATAGGAAAATTACTCCTTTTTTAATTGTAATTTTTTGGGGGATGGGAAGATTAACCCTGAGCTAACATCTGCTGCCAATCCACCTCTTTTTGCTGAGGAAGACTGGCCCTGAGCTAACATCCGTGCCCATCTTCCTCCACTTTATATGTGGGACGCCTACCACAGCATGGCTTGCCAAGTGGTGCCATGTCCACACCCGGGATCCAAACTGGCGAACCTCAGGCCCCCAAAGCAGAACGTGGGCACTTAACCGCTGTGCCGCTGGGCTGGCCCCAATTGTAATTTTTGATACATCTTTGAACTTGTTTTTGTAGATTGGGAGAATATTGCCCCTTCTTGCCTCTAGGTCGGAGACATATTTGTCCAATATAGTGCCACACTTGACCCTTTTCTCTGTTACAAGAAGTCCTTTATTAAGGATTTTAAAAATCACTTTTGAAATAGCTGATATCCATTTCCTTCTCCTTAAACACAATACTGCCCAAAGTGGAAGGAATTTTTGAATTATTAACCCTTTTTATTTTTCAGTAGTATGCTATACGTCATAACTGCCAGTTTTTTCCCAAAAGATGAGAGGATAAAGAACTGATTTCTCTTCAGGCTTCTCTTATTTCTTTTAGCTGTGTTTGTTAGTTTCAAACACTTTGCTCAGCTGTGTGATGTCAGTTATTCCCCAGCTTTCAAATTTAACTTTGTATCTTCCACCAATATTTTTTCCACTAGAAGGTCATACTTAAAAAATTTGTCAGAGTGAAAGAGACTGGGTTATTTTTTTAATATTAATGCATCATATAAAAAAATTTTTCTTTTATGATAGTGATTATCAACTTCCTTATTCCATAAATTTCAGTGATTTTTAAAGAATTCTGCAGATCAGAATAAGTATCGATAAAAGGCTGGAAATTCTGGAAAACACCTAGAAATAACTTGTCTTCAAATGTTAAATACATTAAGAAGCTCAGGATATATGCTTAAATATATCTAAAATTTCATTAATGTTTGCAAACACCTGTATTGCCATCGCCTCTCCCACACCATATATATTAGCACTTTATATTTCTATTTCAGTTTTTATTTTTTATTTACAGTCTTTGCATGGTAACTCATTTGAAAATGTCTGAGGTCGATGGATCAGCTTTTTAAGGCTGGAGTTAGTTCACAGATCTCTTGTTGCCCTAGGTTGAAAGCTTCTTGAGTTTGATGGTCTGTATCTTATATTTACCACTGTTTCTCCCATCTCTCTAATTACTTACATATCACAAAACACTCATGTTTTGTCCAGTGAGGTATAGAAGGTATCTTGAAACTCAAAATATGAGTAAGTAGCTATTAAAATCTTCTCTGTCTGGCTCAACAAATTTATTAGATTTAAAAGAAGAGTTGAAGTCTAACTTAGAAGTGAAGTCTAAGAAATTGTTGCACAATTATGGAGGATGGTAAATTTTTATTGACTACAGTAAAAGTAAACTGAAGTGTTTATTTAAGCAAATTTTTACTTTGCTAAAAGGGATAGCATTAGCCATTTAAGCCATTAAGTAGTCTTAACGGTCTATAAACTGACATAAGATACCTTCATTTTTGTAGGAAAGCTGATGCTATTATATTGATTTTTGTTTTCATGAATAGCTAGAACCAGAGCAGGTTTCTCATTAAATTCGTTTAACGAATATTTGTTAAGCTTTTGCTACAGGTGAGTTATTGTGCTAGTTTCTGGGATTACAAAAATAAGATTTTGTTCTTGCCCTTAAGAAGCTCAATCTAATGCAACAAGACACATCCAGGAAACAGATGATTGCAAAAGAGTTAAAATAGTACCATAATAGAGAGATGCTCTGGGAACATAGGGGAGACATAACTCAGTTTTAAGAGGGAAAAGCAAAGAAAAAAGAAACCTGAACAGCTTCAGGAGACAGTGTCACCTGAGGCTGAATCTTGGCAGGTAAGTAGGAGTTAGCTCCACATGAAGAGTAAGGCAAAGCATTCCAGGGGGTGGGATGGCTGGAGGAATGGGGTGGGAAACAGTCTGTGCACTTGGGGAACGACAGGTCCTTCGAGGGTGCTGGGGCATCATATGGGAGACTTGAGAAGAGAGATTGTTTTTCTAAAGATGCGGTGATGTTGCATGAGCCTACTGATTAATTGTATTGAAAATCAGAGCATTTTAAGATAAGAGCCGTTAAAATTATTAGTTAAAAAAATGGTTTTTATGATGAAAGATACTTTCTTTATCCAATGGCCTCTGTTTTTGGAAACTTCATCTGTATAGGCAGCCTGTATAGATATTACTAATTACATGCATGTGTCTTAATCAGGATGAAAATCTTCCTAAGTTATTTCATTTTAATACTTAGCATAATATCTTTTCTCAATGAGTATTATTATATGGTGTTTTGATGAAGATACAGGCAGCTGACACTCTGATTAGCCTTCTCTGCTGTGCTTTTTTTTTTTCTTTTTTTTTGCTGAGGAAGATCTGCCCTGAGCTAACATCCGTACCAGTCTTCCTCTGTTTTTTAGGATGTGGGCCACCAGCACAGCATGGCCACAGAGCATGCCAAACTTAACCTCTAGACCACCACTGCTGTGCTTCTTAAGATGCTTCTGTGTTTTATACTGCTGTCGGTTACCAGCTGCTACTGATAGCAATGTGATTCATCCATAGCTTGCTTTCTTTTCCTGTTTTTATTGTAATTATGTCATTTACTTCTTTGTCTTTTCATAAGCTTCAGAAGAGCAGGGACACCATGTCTGCCTTAGTCTCTTATATTTCAGTGCTGAGAGCACAGTGCCCAACACAAAACAGTCGTCAATAACCATTTATCAAATGAATGAATTCAGTATGGTCTGTAGCCCAAATAATTAAAGTCAACTGCTCTGGAAAAAGAAAAAGAGTAGAGAGTTCTGGTTAATCATTTATCTCTTTAGTACATGCATTTTACACTGTCAGGTAATTGGCAGATAATCATATGTAATTCCCTCTTAGGTTATCAAAGAAATAGTAAGTTAAGAATCCATAATAGATTTATTATGAATGTCTCTTGCACTGTGTTCTGCGATTTCATAAAAAAATCCAAGCTGGTAGAATGCTAAAAAGTAAAAGGTCTTTATTAGTTTTCAGACAAATGCTTAATAATAATAGGCTTCAGGGGCTACACCAAAGTCTTTTCTACAACTGCTTTAGGATCCTGTTTCATGAAATAGTTTCCATTGGTAGGAAGCATAACCTCTTTCTGCCATGGAACTCGAAACTGGATGTATTATCCTAAACAGAGCTTAAGGACCAACTAATAAACTTGGGCTTAGGGTCGGGATTTACCAGGAATTTTGCAAACAACCTGTTTGTTTATATAGATGATTCTTTTGATAAGTTGATTTGGTTGGTTTTTTGGATGGTTAGTTTTAAATAAGATGTTTTTGAAATTTTCAGTGGTACACAGGCCAATTAGCCTATCCAGTAAAGATTCTAGAAAGAATTTGCGTAGTATATTTAATATTATATGTGAACGTTCCTGAATTTAAGTGCTCAGGTGTCAGTATAACCTCAGGTTCAGTCACCTTTGAGTCATTCATCAGATGTCTTGAAACGTGCTGATTTGCTTGGCAATGTTGGGTTAGCTTGGGGAGATTTTTCTGTTTTTAAATGTGACTTTTTAATGTCCCCTCTCCCCCAATATTTCCTAGAATAACCATAAGATCAGCTTTGTATGAAAGAGAGAGATTGCTCTTGAGGAAAATTATATGGCTGAGGTTATCTTATAAACATGTTTTTAGTTTTTTGTGAGAAAATACATGATTTTAATGTTATTTTGTCAAATGTTAATCATTTTATGTGTTTTGCTTCTTTTTAAAATCCAGGCTTTCCTTAAAGATAGAACCAGGGACGAGCACCCCACGCTCGGCCGCCTCCAGGGAGGATCTAGCAGGTTAGTGCGCGGTCTCTCCTTCCTACATCGCACGTCAGGTAGCTGAGGAGAAAGACACTCTCCAAAGGACAGGAATGCTGAGCACGTTTTATACTGCATGCAAAAAGTTATTTTTGGTATTAAAATATGTTAGTTTTTTCTGTTTGAGTGTTTTTGTTTTTTAATTAAAAAGTTGTTACTGGTAATTTGTCAATAATATACAAATACGCCAACTAATCAAGGAAAATAGATCAACAGACAGAAAATTAAATAGGGAAGTGTTTATGAATATCTTTTCTTTTTTTTTATTAAGAATGCACTGCCCTAGGCAATGAGGGTTGATTACATTAGAAATTTCTGTGGTTTAAGTGGAAAACCCTGCTAATTTGAATAGTTACAGAAGTCAATTTTGGTGACAATTTTTTTAAAATTTCACTGTAATACTGGGCCAAGTATGGAAAATGTTACCATAATTTACCGGTTGTATTGTAGTTAGGGATATTATACATATCCCACACATAATCAAAAGTATAAAATTGAAGAGAATTACGCATTATTTAAGAAATCATTGATAAGTACCTTTTTTGAAATTCTAAATACAGACCTTGGCACTAAGCTTCATATTATTGTATGTTCTAAAACTGAAGGCCCATCTAAGAAGATGTGAAGGAAGTGAGAGCAGAAATCATGACTAGGGGGAAGAGTATTCCAAGCAGAGGAAAATATTTCAGTCTAAATCTCTTAAATTTTCTTTTCTTTTCATTCTTAGTGATATTTGACAAATCTGTGTACTTTTTCTTTTTTTTTTTTGAGGAAGATTAACCCTGAGCTAACTGCTGCCAATCCTCCTCTTTTTGCTTGAGGAAGACTAGCCCTGCACTCACATCGTGCCCATCTTCCTCTACTTGATTTGTGGGACGCCTACCACAGCACAGTTTGCCAAGCAGTGCCATGTCCGCACCTGGGATCCGAACTGGCAAACCCCGGGCCGCTGAGAAGCGGAACGTGCGCATTTAACCGCAGTGCCACCGGGCCAGCCCCCACTGTGTACTTTTGAGTCGTATTTTTTTTATTCCCATAAGCTTGAACAGTGTGAATATAGATTTAAATTCTAACTTGAATGCTTGACCTACGCTATGCGTTCTTTGTCTAAGAGGAAACTGAAACTAAGGATCAAAAAGCAATGCGTAAAACTAAGTGAGCACTGAACTGGGCCTCAGAGACCAAAGTCCTTGAGCCCAGGTTTCATCTGTGTTGTGAGGCCCTGAGCCCATCTCTTCTAATGCTGCTTCTTGCATTATTAAGGGGCAAAATATTTATACTGCCTACTTAAGGCAAGGAAGATAGAAATTAATGGATTTTGTATGTTTGGGGATTTTATGTTTTAAGACTCAAAAAATAAATATTTCTCTAGAGGCCAGCCCAGTAGCACAGTGGTTAAGTTCGCACGTTCCACTTTGGTGGCCCTGGGTTCACCAGTTCGGATCCTAGGTGTGGACCTATATACTGCTTATCAAGCCATGCTGCCGCAGGCATCCCACATGTAAAGTAGAGGAAGAAGGGCACAGATGTTAGCTCAGGGCCAGTCTTCTTCAGCAAAAATAGGAGGCTTGGTGGCAGGTGTCAGCTCAGGGCTAATCGTCCTCAAAATGAATAAATAAATAAATATTTCTCATATTTGGTCAGTTAAACTTAACATTAATATTATCTTAAAATTTAAAACATTTTATATCAAGGGATTAAAAAACAGTCTTTTGAAACTATCTGAAGATTTCTCTCTCTTTTTTTTTTTTTTTAAATTTAACTCTTAGGTCCTGAAGTAGGAGCATCTCCGCAAAGTGGAAGAAAAAGTTTGGCAGCTGAAGGAGCTTTACTACCACAGACACCGCCGTCCCCTCGGAACCTGATTCCACATGGACATAGGAAGTGCCATAGCTTGGGTTATAAGTCAGCATTTTTAATTTCATCTTTCAAATTTTTAAGTTGTTTCTAGTTGGATTTATTTTCTATTTATTAATTAAACAGAAAATAGTGTCCTTGCAAAATTTTATTTGTATAACAATAGTCTTTTCCTGCTTCATTAAAATATCTTGCTTTCCTAAAGCATTTATTTCTTCCTTTACCTTAATTTGGAAATGAGCTTTTCCCAACAGTGCCTTCACATTTGGGGGAAATAAACAAACATTACAGAGTGTCATCATAAATAAAATCAGGAAAACAATACGCCATTTTCCTTTTAATAACCTAATAACCTTCCTTTTATAACCTTTGTATCAAGACAGTCATTGCTTGTCTTAACCAAAGTAAGTTATCATAAATTAAGATCTATAAAAATTGGTCTTTTTATTTCTAAATATAAAGAAATGGAAACTGATTTTTTGTTTAACTTCATTAGCTTTGCAAGATTGTTTTCTCAAAGTGGGGCCCATGGTTCACCTTTGCCGTGATTTTTGTAAAAATTTAATAGCTGTTTTCCAAAAGTGAATGTGAAAACACTTTTTTAATGTACCTGCAGCTGAGGATGAAATTGAAGTATTCTCTGTTGTGTAGGTAGATATGGCTTGGATTCCTAAAACATTTTCCCTGAACTGTTAGTTTGAGGCCTTCATGGTAAAATCTGTGTGTTCGTTAGTATGAGAGTTCAGAAGTAAGTTCAGGATATCAGGTAAATCTTTTATATCCTGAATCTTTATATAAGAGTATCTTTGATATCTTGAATTAGTAACAGTAATAAAAGATATGAAATATTTCTCTTTGTTTCCAGTTTCATTCATAAAATGAACACAGCAGAGTTTAAGAGTGCAACGTTCCCAAACGCAGGACCAAGACATCTATTAGATGATAGCGTCATGGAGCCCCATGCACCATCTCGAGGCCAAGCCGAAAGTTCTACTCTTTCTAGTGGAATATCAATAGGTGAGAAATATTTATCTGAGAGGGTTCCAACTTATGTAAAATGTTTTTAACGAAACTCAGCTGGGAAAATGTCCTTAACCCTACTACAAATAGAGAAAATTTGATAAAAGCCAAGTAGCAATTAGATATAGGATCATCTTACTAGTAGCTATTGAAGTTAATAATTCATGATGGTTTAAAAAGTACTCGATGATTTTGACTCTAAAAGAGGAGGCGTTTGAGTAATGGTGGAAGAGAATGTGGGTTGGTTGATTGGTTACTCAGTGCCATTTGGATGTGGGAATGAGGAAGAGGGCAGAGTTGGATATGCCTCCCGGTTTTGTGGAATAAGCAGCTAGTTAGATGGTGGTACTATTCCCAAGGTAGAGAAGACTGGAAGAGCAGTCATTTGCAAGTGGTGAGGTATTTGTGAAGGATGACTGGGTTTGGAGAATTAAGAATTCTGTTTTGGATATGTTTGGTCCATATGGAGTTGTCAGGTAGGTAACTGAATGTATGAATCTGGAGCTCAATGAGGTAAGGTCAGGTCTGTAGGTGTAAGTGTAGGTGTTAGCTTATTTATAGTATTTTCAAGCCATGGGACTGGTGGAAGACATTCTGGCGTTTAGGAGTCTGATTAAATTATTTTTTAAAAAACAACTGGCCATCAAAGGAAGCTACGAAGGAGGGACCAGAGAAGTAGGGGAAAAAACCACAAAAACCCACTAGAGGAAATGTCTCCAGGAGGAGGGAAGTATTGAATGTGTCAATACCAAATGCACACAAAGAGAACTAAGATGAGAATGGAAATGATCAGTGGATCTGGCAAGATAAAAGTCATTGGTGACCTGGACAAGAGTTGCTTCATGGAATAGTGGGGTCAAAGCCCTGATGGAGTGGTAGATTAGAGAATGAGAGACAAGGAAACAGAAATAGTGACTATGAAAGGGAGCGTAAAATTGGGACCATACCAGAAAGGGATATGAGATGAAGAGAAGAATTTGTTTCTACTTCCTAAACTTTTATTTATTTTCTAAATCTTCTAGATGAGCATTATTTCTCTTGATAATTCGAAAATCTCCGTATAATGCTATTTTTATTTTTAAAAAGAAATAAATGAGGAAAATGTCTTCCTCTGTGATTAAGTGCCAGGTTGTTCAAGGGCTAAGCCTATTATTATTAATATAATCATCTCAATATTGATGAACAGTTAATACAAAGAAATGCAGAAGGTGTTCATTTTCTTGAACATATTGACTTCCTTAACCCCTGAGAGTTCTAAACCCTGAAAACGAAATTGCTTTAGAGCTTTCTAGCACCATTCAGCAGTTTTTTATTCTCATGTTCCCCTTTTTATAAATGCAAATGATTAAATGATGACAAAATTTACAAAATAGAAAACAAGTTGGCCATCTGAAATACCTCTTTATTAATGCTGTAAGTTGTCTATATGCAAATGTCAACCTCAATCTGAAAAATAATATACAGAATAATTTTGCAAAAAAGAAAGGAGGAACTTTTTTCCAGTTAAACACTTGTTACGCTTATGGAATCCAGCATGCCACTTAAAGCAAAAAATAATAAATTTTTAAAATTACAGCTCTCAAGTATATATATATAAAATATTTGGCTTTTTATCACCATAACTGTTATAGTGATAATTATTATTCTCTAGTTTATTTGTAGCTTTTACTTTCCATAGATGTTCTTGTAGTTAACACAAGACAGTTATCTAGTTATTTCATTTAGTTACAGTTAATGTCTTGGTTTAGAACTCTTTCTTTTAGAACAGAAAGAAACTATTTGAATTTTTGCCTTTGCATTTATTTTTTAATTATGTAAGGCTGTTAAGTAACTAAACGGTAAAGATTATTACATCCTTGTTTGTAAATTAAGAACATTAGACATAGACATTACCTTCCCTGGTTTTTGTTTTAAAGCTTTAACCTTCTGAATAGAAAGTAAGTCTATAAACCATAGATGGTAGAGTTACTACAAACACACAAAATTCCTAATTACAAAAGCCTTTTTTCCTTAGCTGTAACTTATACATACAACATTAATCAGTACCATGGAGGCTTTGAGAAAGTACTCTGGAGAAATTAACCAATGCTTGGGACAGTGGCCTCAAACATTTCTACTGTGGTATAACATCCTGGGTAACCTAAGTAGTCTTGCCCAGCTAAGGGGGGCATAGCCACTCTGAGCTTCATGCTTCTGGAAGAGCTTACATTTTTCTGCAAGTCAGTCATACTAAGTATGCTTAAATTTTCAGTCTTTACCACAGAATGCTACAAATCAAAAGATAGTCTACGACACCCCACCACCACCAACAGATTACCTCTGGTTTCTCATCTGAACCACACAACCAGAAAATTATTTCAGTGACTCTTAGTCAGTTCTTTCAAGGATTATACACAGCTAGTGCCTTTCTAAATACATAGAAGAGGTGTTAATCTGTCATGTGTAATGGATACATTATAGCATTAGAGTTTGAGTCTCTCATGGAACACTGCTTCTGAAAGTCTGATAGACAATTCAGCTGGATACATAAGGGACGTGTTAATCATCAATTTTATTGAGAACCAGAATTATCTCTCAAATAACTTTTAAATCAATCTAAGCTGTTTTGGATGCTCCCAAATTCATTCATCTCGGTTTTTTCTTTAGCTGTTTTAAAACTTTCTGTTTTAACTGATATTCTGGAGAAAGCTTTTATATTATTATAGCACCATTTTTTTTTTAATATAGATTCCATCCTTTCTACCTTTCCTCTAAAGGCAAAAATTGAATTTCATTAAGCTTTTTATCCTTAGGTTGAAGGAATACAAAGGGAAAGGAAGTGTGCCATGAACCTCTAAGAATTTCATAATTATATTGGTCTTAAATTATGACAAATCTGATAAGGAAAAATGTTGTGCTTATGTGCATTATCTGATGGTAGGAAAGTTTTTATTAACATAATGAATTTGAGTTATAAGTAGACATGCAAAAATGTTTTATGCTATTTTATTTTAGATATGCTTGTCATTATATTCCTATATTGCAGAATAAATCTATCAGCAGTAATATTAGAATGAAAAATTAATATGTGGATATTTACCCACAAATAACATGGTTGTCATTTTATGAGCACAGTTAGAGAATTTATTTTTAAAATATAAAATTCAAACGGTAATTCTGATGTTTAAAAAATAGAATAACTTTTGATTTTAGGTAGCAGTGATGGTTCTGAACTAAGTGAAGAGACCTCGTGGCCTGCTTTTGAAAGGTAAGAAAAATTGTCCATTTGAACTGCTTTGAGTTTATTTTGTCTGTCTTAAAGTATATGATAATATGAATTTTAAGAGATAATGTTTATTACATATCTCTATGGAACTGTTTAAGCTTCCTGCTGGTAGTAGAAATAAGAAGTTGGTATTTAAGTCTGGAATTGAGTCTTATCTAGCAAATATATGTTTATTTGGTGGCTTGACACATGTATTTGAATTTTAGTACATTTAAAAATAATAATAACCAGTTATTGTTAACTTAGCTACTAATGTGTTCAAAAGTAAAATTAGGGCTGGCCTGGTGGCATAGTGGTTAAGTTCAGTGCACTCTGCTTTGGTCGCCTGGGGTTCACTGATTCAGATTCCAGGCGCAGACCTACACCACTCATCAAGCCATGCTGTGGTGGCGACCCACACAAAATAGAGGAGGATTGACATAGATGTTACCTCAGGGACAATCTTCCTCACCAAAAAAAAAGAAAAGAAAAGAAAAATTATTTCCTTTAATTTTAGTTCATTGAAGTAATTTTAAGGCATTTAGTAGAATTGTCAAATTTATTCTCTGCTACTTTTGAGGGCAGAAAGACTTAGTAAACTTTAAATTATGCTATAAAGAAAGCAGCTTAAAGTTTGAATTTAAATTGCCATTAACTAAGAATTTGCACAGAGCACAGATTTATACTGAAGTACAAGTCATGCTCCCTTCTCCTTTCTTTAGTGCTTTAAGGTATGATAGCTGTCATCTGCCTGCAGCAAATATCATGCTATATTGATCCTCCAATATAAGATCTCCTTAAAAATGTAACCAAACTGTGCAAATAATTATTTACTAAATGTCCGTTAGGACTTTTAATGTTGTCTATGACCATTTCAGTTCTGCCATTTTTGTACTTGACTCTTGACCAAAATAATTGCTCCCTTTTGTATATAAACTGAGCAACTTTTTCTAAGCGACAAGAGTGTCATTTAGATTGAATTTTGAGCATGATATTAAAATTGATGGAGTTGAAAATATTTAGTAACCTAACTTCTCATCAATAACTTTTTAATAAAAAAGTTATACTAACTATACAGTTGAAATTAAACTATATTTGAATTTCTTAGTTTCATTCTGTTTAGTTGGAAAATTATATCTTTGTTCTTGATGAAACTTCCTAAAGATTTCTCACCACTACATGATTAAGATTTTACTCATAAACTCAATATTTCAAAGTCCTTTTGAACCTTTCTACTCTAATTATTAGTGTTCCCAAGTTTTGTTCTCTTTGCTTTGGGGGATCCTTAACAATTTGTGTTTGCTTATTATGTTTCTTCCAACTTTTACTTTCAATCTCTTTATTTGGGTTTGCCTGAAACAGGAAAAACACAAGAGTTGCCGCTGGCCTGCTGTCTGTACAAATAGTCTTAGTTCTTTCGCTCTAGAAAGAGCATGATACCATCAGATGTTGATTATAGAGTAGATTGTAATCTTTAGATAAAAAATATTGGTGAACAAAATTGTTTCTCAGATTGCATGAGTTGTAAGTGTGTAACCATAGTGGTGCTGTGTTAAATAACGCGGTCTTATCCCAGCAGGCTACTTTTGAAGACAGTATTTAATGATGTTACCTTCACATCTCAAAACAATATTTTTCTTTTATGACAAATGTTTTGCTTTGCAGACATTTGCAGCTAATAAAAATCTACTCGTGCCAAGTTTAAATCAGTGACTCTTGGAATATTTTGAGAGCAAATTAATGCTGCCCAGCAAGATTCAGACATGAAATAATAAAAAGTGGATAAAGAACTAGGATATAAAATACTTCTTATGAATAGTGACCTTGAAAATAGCACTCTGACTGTTAAACATGCCATTTTCTGTTCTTATTTCCTGGAGACATCAAATATGTTGCTGCTTAAGTTGCTAACAATGCTTTTTGTTTTAAATATCATTTATCAACAGTACTTCTTTTGGCTTTTCCCAGGCAAAGAAGTATCAGTGATTCAACGTGTGCGTGTTTATTTCCTTTGTTTAAGTATTACATGCCATTTTGGATAAATATTGACTCATAGCATTTTTATCATTTATTGGCTTTATCAGTAGAAATAAAATAATGCCTTTATTACTCAGTTCATCTCTTTTATTAGTTTTCTTGCATTTAACATAAAGGATAGAGAGGAAAATAAGGTATTCAAGCCACATTGCTTTTAGGTGTCTTCATAGGGACATATAATAAAAATGAATTATTTATGTAAACCCGGGTATCATATTTAAACTAGGATCCAAGAACCAGAATAGAAACAAAAGGATTTTTGAAATATTTTTCAGGTTTTGATAGTATTTGGTTGTAAATAGCTCTTTAATTATTTTAGCAGATTTGTAAAAGCGAATGTATATATAAATGTATGGTATGTACTAAGCATCTATAAATGTTTCTAGAGTCAATGGTGGAAGAAAAAATTTTTATAGTGTGTGCTGCATGCTTTAAAAAAGAAAGGAACAATCAGATACTATCCTTTTGTAGGATTTAGAAAGTTAGATTACACAAAGAAATTATTATACTGTTCTAGGTATTGATGATGATTGTGTGAATAAAAGTATATGTAATATATACAATTTATAATGGAATCCAACAGGAACAGATTATACCATTCTCTCGGCCCGGTGACACGAATGGCACGAAATGGCTATCGAAGCCACATGAAGGCCAGCAGGTACAATTCCCCTGCACTCAGGGGTCACAGAACTCCCCTCTGGTGTTGGTGATTGGCTTACATGGGTGTGGTCTCACATCATATCTGTTCTTTCTCAACTAATTGGTTTAAAAACTAAAGAAATCCCAGGAAAACTTTCTTTGCAAGATTCAATCTAGAGATAAATTTGAACTCTTCTTTCTAATCCAAGAGCTGGTTGCTAAAACTTGCATCTTTATGTCACATTTTTAAAATAATTCCAAGTTGGTAGCCTGTTAACTACCCAGGTCTTTCTAATGCTTCTCTTAATGGATGAGCAATACAAAACTCTGCTCGTCATTCAAAGGCTGCAGTCAAAGCATTTACTCTGCTAGCAAGTCTACATTCAATTTGTCTTTTTTAAGAGTTTTTCAGATAAACTGCAGATTCTGAATTTAGACATCTGTTTCATTAAGTAGTATTTTTGTATTTAAACTCCTTTTCATTTGGTGGTTGTTCTAGTTAAACCGGATCTCCTGCTGCACTGTATCAGCTGCAGAGGAAACAAGGATGGTAGATTGATTGAGGGCTGGAGGTTAGTGGTGATGGGGTATTAACCAATTTGTAGCACAGCAAAATAGCCAACTTTAGAAGAGAACTTTGTCATTTGATGGTGTCTAATCTCCTTGTGTATATCTCCCTAAATATAAATAGCTGTATCATGAAATTTTAGTGGTTTTTAAGTCACTTTGAAGACACCTAAATAATCATTAAGGGATAACTAGCAAACTTCATTTTTCTTGGCTGTTGTAGGAATTCTCCAGGTCATGTCAAATCACCAGAGAATGACAGATTTTTTGTTAGTGTGTGTGTATGTTTTAATTGACTTTATGTAGAAATTATTCTTGTTTTGAATATAGGACCTTAAATCAGTTGGGGAAGGATACTTAAATGTTTGGTTCTTTTGTGATGGTTTTCTTAAGATATATGAAAAGGAAATCTTCAGTTTTGAAGTGCTTCCTTTCTTGGAGAGCTGTAGGCTATAATCAAACACTTATGCATTGACAGTATTTTAATGTCATTAAAATTTATTGCAGAAGGCCAATTTTTTAAATATGTTGTTATTGCCTTTATTACTTTTTTCACTTATTTTAGAATTAAATTAAGCATGGATTTTCTTTTTCTTTTTTCCTTTTTTGAGCTTCTGCTATTTTTGTTTTGAGTTTTATGTGCTTAAATACTTTTAACAAATAGAATCCTCATTTTTCCTACCAGGACTTAAAATTTCTAATGGGGAAAAAAAAGTTTGCAGCAATGATGCAATGTGGCACATTAAGAAGAAGGAAAAGTCTTAAGTCCTTAATCTTTACTAAATCGAACTATTCTATATTTTCTAACTTATACTTGTTCAAATATGTAATAAAGTATGTATTTTTTAACCGTCTGCTGACTTTAATAACTTGATTAACTTTTGTGACAGCTTATGAATTTCAGATAATAAACCTTTATAGTCAGTGTCTTCTCATTCTGAATACAGTAACAAAGTTGTAAAATTAAGAATAATTACATTTCATTTAAGTACCTCCTTGACAACTACTAAACACAAAAGCTCTTACCTGTTCTTTTTTTGTTTGTTTTATTATTATAGTTCTGCAGAATCAGAAGATTTGGCAGTACATTTATATCCAGGAGCTGTTACCATTCAGGGTGTTCTCAGGAGAAAAACTTTGTTAAAAGAAGGCAAAAAGCCTACAGTAAGATTTTATTATATTTTAACATACCTCTAAAAATATGCAAATACATAGGACCCTAAAATATATGAAGAAAATTGAAATAAAATCAGATATATAGTACATTTGAAATAATTTAAAATATGCGCTTGCCTCACCGTGTTTCTTAGTTTAGATCTCAGGGAAATCCTCCCTTTAGGGAGTTTGAATCAAGGTTCTCCTCTACTTCTCTTTGCTCCCTGATATAGTTCTTACACAGTCATTTCTCAGAGAACCTCAAAATGATATATTGTTAAATGTTTTAGTAATGAGTTTAGGAAAAATAAAGAATAGAGAGTAACAACCCTAAGAAATGGAATTCACCCAGTTCTGTCACTCCTAAGTTGTTTATTTAAATCTCTAATGCAGTTTTGTGTTCCTACATAAAATAGAACCTACATATTGAATGTCCTCCAAACCATAATTAATTTTTTTAAAAAAAGCTTAGTGGAACAAAGCTTTTCACATGTAATGTGGAACTTTGTTCCTTCTCAACAGCAGCACAGTAGTTTGACTACTAATGAAAAAAGGGTTTTTTTTCTTTTCTCAAATGTTATAATTTATCTAATGTGGAATAAAAACTTTGACATATATCCACACTTAGAGCTTTTAAAGATATGAGGGCTTCTTAAACTGTAAAAACGGTTTACATCTAAGTCATCTGATTTTGCTGCTTACATTACAGTAAACCTCAGGCACATACGATCAGGAAGCTACACCAGGCCAGCTAGTGAACTCAGAATAGCATGTCAGTGGAGGCAGTACCACACCTATTGCGGGCCAGATGCCAGAAATAGATCAGTGAACAAGATGAGGCAAAGTACCTGGCTCACGGAGGTGACATTCCAATGAGGAGAAATAGAAAATAAGTGCTTAAAATAAGGTAATGGGGTGGAGAAGGAAAGGATCAGGAGAGACGTCACCATAGCGAGGCATTTGAGCCGAGGTCTGAATAAGGAAGGAGCGTTAGCCATGTGAAGCTCTCCGGTTCAGAAGACAGGAAGGCCAAAAGTGAGCATTGAAAGTAGAGGCGGTGGAGGAGAGAAAGGCCGAGATTGCTTGATGGTGTAGTAGATGTGATATACGAGAGAAAGAGTGGAAGTGAAGATAGCTTCTGGGTTTTGGAGTGAGCTGGGTGAATGTTGGGGGTACTTACTGAAATAGGGAAAGTTTCTTTGAGAGGGGGCAGGAGAGTCTTAGCCAAGTTCAGTTTTATATGCTTATTAGACATCTAAGTGGGGATGTCATTTTGGCTTTTTAAAAAGTCCCATTCAAAAGTTCAGCAGAGAGGTGGTGGCCAGACATAAAGATTTGGGAGTCATTAGCATACAGATAGTGTTGAAAGTATGGGACTGGGTGAGATAGATTATGAAGAAAGTGTAGCCAGGGAAGGAAAGAGGGCTGGGGCTGGAGCTCTGTAGCATTTAAAGGACTACTATTAGTGTGTAGAGGAAAGCTAAGGGATTGCTAGAATAGAAGCCTAGCAAAGTATTTCAGTTGTGTCACATGCTGCCGAGAGGTTGACTATGATGAGAACAGAGGCTTTAGTAAAATGTCAGTGATCAGTGACCTTGACAGCAGCCGCCTAATTGGAAGAAAGTCGAGAAGAATATGGGCAAAATAGAAGTAAAGTCAGGAATTAGAGACAACCTTGCAAGAAGTTATGCTGTGTAAAGGAGCAGAGAAATTGGATGGTGCCCGACAGGTCAGGGGGTGGGTCAGTGGAGGGATTTTCAAAGATGAGAGTACTGTTAAGTCTCATTTGTATAAGGATGGTAGAGGGAGAGAAATTGAGATGCAGAAGAGAGACGAGTAAATTGCAAAAGCAAATTCCTAGAGAAAGTGAGAGAGAGTAGGAATCTAGAAGCACACTTAACTATTCTGTTGTAGCAGGAAGAAAGGCTGAGTATGTGGGTCTACACATAGGTAGGTAGATGGAATTGGTCTGGGAACGTGAGGTAGTCCTCACCAGATTTCATCTATTTTTCTTAGGAAATATGCAATATCATCAGGGGGTGGAATATTAGAATTTTGAAGAGAAGGTATGAAATAATTGTCTCCAGAGAGAGAGTATAATGACTTGATTGGGTAAAAGTGAAGTACTATTAATTTCTTTTTGAGATTGGAGGTCATAATTTTATCAGTTGGCACAACTATGTCATTTCTCCAACAATACTGGGTTACTGTGATGTGGTGCCAAGTAATCATATGGTCAGGTTTGTTTTGTTTTTTTTTTTTAAAGGAAATGGCGTTTGAGGACGCCTGTATTTTTTTTTTTTAAGAGTTTATTTTTCATTTTTCTCCCCAAAGCCCCCCGGTACATAGTTGTATATTCTTCGTTGTGGGTCCTTCTAGTTGTGGCATGTGGGACGCTGCCTCAGCGTGGTTTGATGAGCAGTGCCATGTCCACGCCCAGGATTCGAACCAACGAAACACTGGGCCGCCTGAAGCGGAGCGCGTGAACTTAACCACTCGGCCACGGTGCCAGTCCCGTATGGTTAGGTTTATCTAGGGTTAAGGTTATATCAGGAGAGAAGGACAGTGATATTAAAATATTTGGAGGGGAGTGGTTATAGTGCTGGATCATGCAGTACAGGCTTGATATGAAGACAGGGGAGGGCGGATATGGGATGAAGAGGCAGTGGCAATACTAGATAATGTTACAAAGTGATAGGATTCTTGATGAAGTCAATAAGCACTAGTAGAGTATATTCAGTGGAAATGATACGAATATTTGAGATAAAGATGTCAGAAGTGATACAACTCTAAAGCTAGGCTAAGATGGCTGAAGTAGAGTAGGGCTAAAGGTCGTTGGCATTAGGGTTTCAATAGTATATTCGTGTGTTTGTCCTCTCCAGGTAGCATCTTGGACAAAATATTGGGCAGCTTTGTGTGGCACACAACTTTTTTACTATGCTGCCAAATCTCTAAAGGCCACAGAAAGGAAACATGTAAGTATTCCTCCTCTAAATTATTAGCATAGTTTCATAGCCTCCTCATGATTGTAAAGAAAGTAATCCTAATGGAATGTAACTCTTTGGGGTTTTTCCCCCATATTCTAATCCAGAAGTTCTTAAACCTGTTCCTTATATGAATATTGTAATGGAATTATTTTTATTTAGTAAGACCATTTCAAGGAAGGTCTTGGAATAGCTTCCATATTGTGAAGTTTCCTTTTTGATTGCTATTTTTCCTTTGCAAATGTCAAAACTGCACATTACACATATTTATCTCGGCATCAAAGCCTTCCCAAAGGTGGGTTTCTTGTTCAGAACATGCTTGAAAGCTGTTGCCTTGGAATCTTAATTCCTAATCTGTAAAATGTGAAAAATTGAGATTGTCACCTAAAGTTCTTTCCACCTCAATTTGTGATTGAGTGATTTTCCCAACAGTGAGGGGAGTAACAGCTACTATGATTACTATGGTCCACTTTCTTGTGCTTTATATTACTTAAAAGAAGTCTCTCAGTGCTCTTTTCTTCAAGTGTAGAATCTTTCTAGAAGTCTTTTTTGCATGCTGTTTTGTTTTTGTGTGCCAGTGATAGAGTCTTTGAAAGGAAGGATAATTTTCCGTGTTACGTTAATAAACTCCCTTTGACAGGAGTTTTATTTCTAAATTACGTATTTGCTGGGGAATTAAGTGGTTTACCATACTAAAGAAAGGTAAGCCACTAAAAAAATGTGTCCTTTTACGCTCTTCTTTGTTCTCACACTTTTAGCCCTTTAATAAAACTAGAGGTTCGTAGAGGGCACATTTTTGGTTTAAATAAATGTGGAAAGTGCTGTAAAGTAGCATCGTCTTCCCTCCTTGTTGGCCACACCCACACGCTGTCATTGGCCTGGGTTTCATCACTGCCTTGCTTTTCTTCAGAGTTTACCATATGTTTTCTTAAACAATACATTGCTTCATTTTTTAACTGTACCTGAAGAGAACCATATAAATTCTTAAGCACTGGCTTTTTTGCTCACTATTATGATATAGTTGGTTAGCTATAGTTTAGCTATAGTCCTTGCATTCAGGTAAAAGAGTATTTTTTTGTATTCGGTCAAATTGACTGCTCACATACCGATCAAGTTACACAGGTCAGTTCCAGTAGAACGTTTTGTGGAGTGATTGCCTCTGGTTAGTGTTGCTGTACTGGACGGGGAAAAAAGGGTGATGTAGCTGATTAAATCCTCCGTCTTCAGATGTAGTTAACTCTTCACATAGTCACCTTAAGACACTTGGTTGGATTTCACTTAGTTGGTGATTATAAAGAAGTAGCTATTCAAAATGAAAGGTTTTTTGTTTTTTCCTATCTTTAATTAGAAACAAGCCAAATTAGGGAACTGATAGGATAACTGAATTTATCTAATGCATATGTTAAATATCTTTTTGTGTTTAGTGTTGCTGCTTATACATAGAGAATTAATGACAATAGCTTGGGTTTTTAATTATATGAGGTCTCTGACAAATAACGTATATGAAATGTTTAGAAATTAGAGCATAGTGGGTTGTGAGGAAATCAAATTGAATGCCAAGGAATTGCACAGTATTTCTGATCTTTTTTAATTAAAACTGTTAAGATTAAAGGAAGAATTATAAGAACAAGATAGAGGGTATAGAGACAGGTCCATGTTTATATTTAGTATCAGTTTTAGTATAGAAGAGATAGCGCACAGAACTAAAAGCAGTGAAGGAAAAAATTTTTTAATTGTTTTCAAACAAAATTAAAGTGCAAATTTGAAGAAAATATTAGCTGTGTATAAGCAACAGATATAGAATCAAATTGTATTATATAAACGGCACCGCCTATGTGGTGTTCTTGCCAAAAATTTAACCTGAATCTAATCATGAGGAAACAATCAAATCCAGATCGTGGGACGTTCTACAAGACAACTGGCTGGGATTCTTAAGACAAAATTTGGCAGATGTAGTGGGATAGGGGACAAGAGGACTGCTCTAGATTAAAGATCTTGACAATTAAATGCAATGTATGCACCTTGGTTGAATCCTGGAAGTAATTTTTTTTTAAAGCTATCAAAGTCGTAATTGGGACAATTGAAGAAATTTTAATATGGACTTTATATGATTGTGTTTGTTAAATTTCTTAGATATGATACTTACATTGTAGTTATATAGGTCTATATTCTTAAGGAGATACATGTTGAAATATTTAGAGTTCAGTGTTATGATGTCTGCAACTTACATTTAAATGTTCAAAGAGATCACGCAAATGCCAAATGCAGGTATGTGGGTAATTGTAGCATTTTTTTCAACTTCTCCATGGTTTCAGCCTTTTCAAAATTAAAAGCTGGAAGAGAAAAAAAGTCAGTAATGAAAATATACCCGTTAATATGTGTACATAAATGCAGAAGGAGAAAGTCTGGAAGCCTACACATCTGTGTCCCATTACTCTCTCTCCTTCTCTGCCTGGGAGGAGGCAGAGGAGGCTTGGGACGGTGGAGTAACTGGGGAGAGAGGAGGGGACTCTTGTTTTGTTATGTCTGTATTTTTGAATGTTTTAAAATGAAAACTTTAGTTTTTAAAATATTTTTTAATGAAAGTATATTTACTGTAAAAAAATTTGCAGATATGTTTAAACTTATCACTACATTGATAATGAGTAAATTAATATTATTTGATTAGTTAAATTTTAAAAGCCAAGACTAAACCTGAATAAGAAACCTGTAACATATATAAAGACCTTCCACAACTCAATAAGAATAAAACAGAACGATAGAAAAATGGAAAAGGGAGATAAATATAAGATGAAATATAAATGGGTAATAAACCTGAAAAGATATCAACCTCACTAGTTATCAAAAATGCAAATTAAAGAGGATGGCTTTGTTTGTTTGTTTGTTTACTCTTAGGCAAAAATTGAAAAGATTGATATATGGCATTGACCACAGTGTATGGAAACATAGACTCTCATCCACGGTTGGCAGAAATTTAGATTGGTACTGTTTTGTGGCAGGCAGTCCCTAGTCAGTATTTAACTTAATAGTAACTCCTTGTCTGAGAATCTATGTGATGGAAATCCTTGAACAAGTGCGCAAAGATATCTGTAGAAGAATATTCTTGTAATGTTTATAATAGCAGAAATCTGTAAACACTGAAAATACTTATGAATAAGGAAATATTTACTAAGTGAAAAACACAAGTTAGAGTATAAATATACACCTATTACTATATAAAAACCAACAGCAACAAAAAAGTCTTTGGTAAATGCGTAGAGAACGGTCCAGAGGGCTACACTCCAAATGATGGTGGATTCTGGGGAGTGGGAGCAGATGCAGCTAGTAGTCAGGGGGCATTTGCCTTCTACATGCTTCACCCCTCTGTATGAGGGCTCTTATATTACTTGAGTTGCTTTTTTTTTTTAATTGAAAAAGAAACAATTGGCAGAAAGCTTTAGGGTTAGGAAAAGAATATTAGAAAATCATGCCGTCCACTTTGACATAAATTATAAGCTGTCAAATCAGCGGTTCTGTGGTATTACCAATTTCATTCTTCATAGTATTAAAACTTCTTACTTCCTTTAACTTTCATTTTTGTAGTACCCATGTTAAAGTGATGTGCTGTATCATTCTTTTTCGCATTTTAAAATTGTGAAACATATACATACAAAAGAAGATATGTAGTGTTCATGCACATTTTAAAGAACAATAAGTAAAATGAACACCTATATAGCTCTCCACTCAGCGTGAACAGAATGTTACCAGAACAGCCCAAGTCTTCCCAAGTAGTACGCTCTTCCTTTCATCTCAGCCATACCCACAGCCTATCACTGTCCTGAATTTCATATTAATCATTGCCTTGTTTTTGTTTAGAATTTCACTGTATATATTTCCTTAACACATTGTTTCATTTTTGAACTGTACCTGAATGGCTTCACACGGACAGTGTTCAGCAACACCTTTTTTGCTTAGCGTTGTTGAGATTCATCACTGTTGACGCATATAGCTGTCATTTATTCCTTTTCACAATTGAGTAGTCTTCCATTTTATGAATCTGCCATAATGTAGTCATCATTCGTTGATGGATATTGGGTTTGTTTCCAGTTTTTTGCTGTATCTAACAATGCTGCTATGAATATTTTTGTGCATATGTACTCTAGGTTGTAAACCTAGGAGTGCACATGTTCAGCTTCACAAGAAAATGCCAAATTGATTTACACACTCACCAGTAGCATCATGAGGTTCCTCAGTGTTCCACATCCTCCCCAGACTTGTTATTGTCAGACTTTAATTTTGGCTAATTTAGTGAGTATGTATGAAGTGGTACCTCATGATTTTAATTTATATACCCCTGACTGCTTAGTGAGTCTGAACATTTTTTCATGTTTATTGGTCATTCCATAAAATGCCTGGATAAATATTTTGCCTAATGAGTGATATATGGTTTCTTACTAATTGGTAAAAATTCTTCATATATTCTGGATGCTAATCTGTTAACAGTTGTGTGTTGCCAATATCTTCTCCCAGTTTGTTTGACTTGTTTTTTTTCGCTCTCTTTGTAATGTCTGTTAGTGAAGAGTTCTTAATTTTAACGTAATAAAATTTATCTTTTTCTTTATGGTTCTTTATGGTTTTAAAATCCTCTCTAACCTGAGCTCATTAAGATAATCTCTCATTATTTTCTACTATTAGATTGAAAGTTTTGCCTTTTGCTTTAAAATCATTGATCTCCTGAAGTCAGAGGGGGTGTGTGTGTGAAGCAGGCATTCATTTTCATGATTTTTCTGTGTGGATACTAATTTTCCTGGCACCATCTATTGAACAGTTCATGCTCCTTCACTGATCTGAGAGCCCACGCTTGTCGTATGAATTTGCATCTTATATGCGCAGATTGCTTTCTAGACTTCCATTGCCCTGTTGGTCTGTCCCTGTCCCGGCAGCTCATGGTCTCAGTTACAGTAGCTTTTTAAGTCTTGATGTGTAGCAGGGCACGTCTGCCTAATTCTCTCCAGGAGTTTCTTGGCTATTTCTGGTCCTTTGCTCTTAGATATAAATTTTAGAATCAGCTTCTCAAGTTCCACATAAAACCCTACTGGAATTTTTATTGAAATGATGCTGAATCTATAGATCACTTTAGGGAGAATTGACATCTTTCTAACATTGAACCTTTTTCTTCATCTCATGGTGTTTCTCCATCGATTTAGTTCTTCAGTGTCTTTTAACTGTTGTACTTTCCTGTATGTCTATTATTAGGTGTATTCTGAGGTACCTTTCTTACAAATGACTTTTGTATTTCTAGTGTTTAGAATTACAGTTGACTTTCATGTTGATCTTTTCCAAGCATTCTTGCTAATCTTTCTTACTAATTTAGTAGATTGTGGTGGATTTTTATATAAATAATATCATCTGTGAGTAATGGCTTTTTTTTTTTTTTTTTTTGAGGAAGATTAGCCCTAAGCTAACATCTGCTGCCAGTCCTCTCTTTTTGCTGAGGAAGACTGGCCCTGAGCTAACATCCATGCCCATCTTCCTCTACTTTATACGTGGGACGCCTACCACAACATGGCGTGCCAAGCGGTGCCGTGTCTGCCCCTGGGGTCCGAACTGGCAAACCCTGGGCCGCCGAGAAGTGGAACGTGCGAACTTAACTGCTGTGCCACCAGGCCGGCCCCCTGAAATGGCACTTTTATTTCTTCTTCACCTTTATGCCTTTTATTTCTTCTTGTTATCTTATTGAGCTGACTGGGTGTTCCAGTTCAGTGTTGAATGGGAGTAGCAATAGTGGGCATCCTTGTCTTGGTACTAATTTTGAAGTGTTCTTAGCATTTCACCCTTGAGTGTATGTGTTGCAGGGTTTGGGTTTGGGGTTTTTTTTTTCTCTTTCCTGCTTTTTTTCCGTTGGTGTTTGGTTGGTTGGTAGATAGGCTTTATTGAATTAGGAAGTTCCTTTCTATTCTTAGTCTATCCCAAATATGCATTATATTTTAGCAGATGCTTTTATTTTGCATCAACTGAGTTGATCATATTTTTTTCTTTTTTAATCTGTTAATATGGTGATTTACTTTAATAATTTTTCTGAAGTTGAACTAACCTTGCTTTCTTGAAAAATTGATTTCTAACGTTAAACCAGCCTCACATTCCTGGGATAAATCCAATTTGGTCATCATGCATCAGCTTTTTTATATACTGCTGGATTGTTTGCCAATATTTTATTTAATATTTTTTCATTATGTCCGTGGATGTGTTTAAACCTAATTTTCTCTTCTTTCGTAACAGCGCTTTTTTCATTTCTAAAATGTAAATTAAAAAAAAAAAAGAATAACTGGAAAAGTAACAAGCATGCTACGAGCACCCCTTTTTTTGAGAAATATAAGAATACGTTATTAAGAATTGCCTGATAGCCCTGCTGGCTTATGAAATCATCAGGTTTAAGACACTACCCCTATTACATTATGCACCTTCAACTTATACAATGTTGTATGTCAATTATATCTCAATAAAGCTGGGAAAAAGGGTAACACCTCTGTTAAAATCCAAGTTGTTTTCTTTACGGAAGGGGCGAAGGGTAGCACGGTGACAGAAAAAACAACTTAGATGAATTTATCAGATCCGCTAACAAATCGTGCTCAACAAGGACCGTTAGGTTTTGATGAAGAATTGAAGCTGGGAATGGTCTTGAGAGTAGGAGACTGTGTAAAGAGGGCATGCCTCCATGGAATTGAGTAGTAAAAGGCCCTGAGCAGGCCTGACCAGCATGAAGTCAAAAATCTCCTCTCCCGCTTGGAGAAACTCAAAATTCGCTAACACTAAATTTTTCCTTAGGATGAGCCATAAATTTTGTGTTTCCATCAATTATCTTTTTGTCTCTCAGTTCAAATCAACATCAAATAAGAACGTCTCTGTGGTAGGATGGATGGTGATGATGGCTGATGACCCAGAACATCCAGATCTCTTCTTGCTGACTGACTCTGAGAAAGGTGAGTCATTAGAGTGACTAGAGTTTGAGGTACTGTGTATACATAACTTTGCGTAAGCCAGAGCCTGGTTTAACTGGAGTACTCTACTGGGGGCGTAGTAGTAGAATTCTATCTCTTGGGAGATGTTTCTGTCACATAATAATGATATCAGTATTTTCAGATATCAATTAATAATATATTAATTGCTTATTTTAATAAGGTTATTCTCTTTGCTGCATGGGAATAAGCTTGAAATAAAAAGGCCAAGTAATCCCTAGAAGGCTAATAGAGAGGAAAGGAAGGAAGAATCTATAGGCCGCTGTTACTTTAGAATCTCAGAGATTTGCCGTATGTGCAGTATCCCCTTCAGTTATGCCCTGAAATAAATTGTTGCTCTTAAGTTCTGAATGTGACAGAGGTTTTTCTTTAAATGATTTTTTTCCACTACTTTTAATTAAATTAATTGGTTATTTGACTCAAATTGCTTTCCAAATAAGTATAATTTTAATTATAATACTTTGCTTACAATATATGGAGACATTTATGAATAAAATTCTTGGCTATTGACAGAGGAGTTTTTAAGTGAGTGAGAGGAGTTGCAGGCTAGGCCTGTAGAGTCGCGTCGCACCTGCTGACTGCTTCGCCTGCTGTGGAGCCCGGGCGGGCCTCAGCACGGGGCCCTGGGTGATTGCCGCTCTTCCTCCATCACAGCGGCCGGGTATTGATAAGCACCACAAAGAAAATTCTTTCATACCTGCCCAGAATCCTCTGCTCCAGCAACTCACAACTCAAATGATAGTATATTACCTTTTATTGGCTGTACAATTATATTTACCTCTGTTTATTCAGAATGTATTTTATATTAACAGATATTCTACTTTTAGGATGTTATGGTATTTTAAGTAAAAATTTAAGTAAGCACATATATTGGATGCAGAAAAAAATAATAGTAAATTAGTCTTGTTTTGAGATGAAATTGATTGATTTGTTGAGTAAGGACTCTCTACTCAACATTCTCAATTCAAAGCCCCAGGCCCCCAAAATCCCAAAGGCATTATTCATAAAATTACTTTTGAAAGGAGATCATTTTCATTGGCTTTACTTAACAAATTCTTTGTTTTCCTTCAGTTTCCTTAGTGTGCTTGATAGAACTGTTTCATAGCAGCCAAGGTTTTTATGAAATCTGTACGAAGGTCTTTTTCAGGGGAGGAGAGAGTAGATAAATGACAGCTATGGCCAGCTTAGTTATAGGTACGCCTTCTATTCAGATTGATCCCATGTCTGCATCTTAGTTCAGCAAGGAAAACAGTATTATTTGAATAATAAAACATTTGGCAAAGGAAAATGGTTGCTACTGAAAGTGAAAAAGGTCCTCGAGTTTTAAAATCTCCAAGAAAAGCTGTATAATGCCTGAACATAGACCAGGCTCTTGAGCCATAGAATGCAGTTATAAAGGAAAGAGACAGGTTCAGTAAGAATTGGGAAGTAAGAAGACTTAAGTCAATGAAAAAAGGGAATAAAGCTCTACTTAGGGCAGCCTCCAGTACGTGAATCCTTTCTTTTCTCAGTTTATTACCTTAATACATATAACCATATAAAATATCCTTATTATGCGTCACTCTTGAATCAGAGTCAACATAAGGTCTGCTAAATACAGCACCCCAGACGAATTTCTAATGTCCCAAAAGTGAAAAAACTACCTCCTCAGATTTTCCCTGAAAGCCCTCATAAACCTGGAAATCTGTAGGAGTTTTGACAAATGTAACTAAAGACTAGAAGCATCTTGATGTTTCCTAATTAATCCTTAATCACCTTAAATAGCTAATGTTTAAGTGTTAAACATAGTAAAGAATTTTGGCCCATAAAAGCTTAATATTAACATCTACTGATATTTAGATAATCTAAGTAGTATTGAGAACAGATATTCTGCAGTCTCATTCACACATACAAATATGGAGAAACCAAACAATTTCATTTAGATATACCTTACTGTAAAGAACATTTAAGGAGACAAATAAGATTACTTCTCTTCCAATTCATAAGCAGCAAAACAGTGACTTTCTCAATAAGTGATAGCATGTGAATGTGGCATAGAGCACTCTTCTTTTTATTTGTATTGGAAAATCAGGTGTTAGAAGAAGGATTCTGAAACTAAGAACTCTAGGTATGTTTTATTTTGCTCTTTGATACCTGGCAGAATTATTTTATGTCAGAGTCCTTACATTTTTATTCTTTTCCCCTTGCTTTTGTTAATTTTAGGAAATTCATACAAGTTTCAAGCTGGCAGTAGGATGAATGCAATGCTGTGGTTTAAGCACTTGAGTGCAGCCTGCCAAAGTAACAGACAGCAGGTGAGCCTTTCTCCTGATCTTCAGAGTAGACCGTAACTCGGGAGTATATTTAAAAAGGTTCCAAGGAGAAGTAAGTAGACTAATTTTCTGAATGAAGTGAGGAGGTGGTATTTTGTCTTTTTCTTGTTGACAGCGGTCAACAAGACATGAAGTCCACGTTTTATTGAGGGAGGTGGGCAGTAAAGAAGTGAACAAATGACAGAGTTTCGGAGTGAAAACTATATAAAGAAAACAAAGTAGAATTATGTGCTATAGATGATGGGGGTCAAGACAAGTTTAAATAAATGAGTGAGCAGCAAAGGTCTCCCTAAGGAGATGACACTGACATGAATGACAATAAGGAACGGCCCTGTGAAGATCAGCGGGAACAAGGGCTCTGGTAGAGGGAACAGAAAGTGCAAAGACCCTGCAGCTGGAGTGAGCTTAAGGTGTTCAGGATAGGGAACTGTAGCCATGTTGGTGGAGTGGAGTGAGAGGTCAGGGTATGTAGCTCTAAAGGGGGTAAAACTTAGACGGCACTTGAAATCAGTAAGAATTAGTCTGCTTCGTCTTTGCTTGTTCTGTTGACAACTTGATGCGGGTTCCTGTGTTTGCAGTGAAACCCAAAACCATATGGATTTTTTTTGTTTTTATTTTGCGGAAACAAAGATGGTCTAATTCAAAGGCTTCCTCAGCTGCAAAGGAGAATGCATCCATAGTGTTGTTTTCCCAACTCTGTTGCAGATTTGAAGTTGAACCACGAATTGGTAGAGTGGGCATAAGATAAACATAACTGAAGTTACAGAAATTTCTGTAGACGTTTTGTAGATCAGTTTTCAGTTGAATATATTTGAAAACCATTCACTTAAGGCACTGAAATACAGAGGTATGCCATAAGTGTTATCAGTAGCTAATTTGAATAATATACCATGTGAGTTATAAAGCTTATAAAATTTTGTATTTTTCGTCCCATGATATCAGGACCTAAATTATTACCCCTTTTTTGGTAAAGGGAGAAACTAGGGCTCAGAGATGCTAAATGACCTACCTCCATAGGGTCCAACAAGTAAAAACTGGTGGACGTGAGACACAAACAGTCTTCCTCCTTTAGGTCCCTTCTTTTTAAACCATTTAAACAAGACCCATTGTTAGAGTGGGTCTTGTTCTCTTATAATTTTTATTTCAAATGTATATGAAAGACTAATAGCAGTATTTGGTACCATTTTTAGCAGCCTCCATTAAAGACATGAAATGCTCTAGTGCAAAAATGACTGTCTTGCCCTTGTCAAGTTAGTGTCTAGGACACAATGAAAGAAACAGACCTTCTTTTGCCTAGACTAAGCTTTTCAGGACTCAACTCCATGCGTATGTTTTTTTAAGTGTAGCTTAAAGTGTTCAGCATCATTTTTTAAAACTCTCAAATTTCAGCGTTAATCTAGACAGTGTGTGTGTACCAGCATGGGAGTTCAATTTCTTTTACTGTATTAATGGAACTTCTTGCTGCACAAATCAACCAGATGTGTATAAATGGTTTTTGTTCATTTGTTTCTATACTTGCAAGAATCAGAGTAGTAGCAATTATAAATAGAAGCTGTGAAATTTGAAAATTTTTAGAAGATTCTAGTTGACTCAAATTCAGCACCTTAAGCATCATTCGGGCAACTTAGGAGGAATGAAACTTTTACCTTATTTAAATATGTGTTTCTTATAACAAGACCTGGGAATTTACACTTTAAGCACGTGGGCGTTTGTATTGTATTTGATTTACAATCTAGTTATGATTACATTGTCAAGTAATTTTTCATTCAGAAGCCAACACGTGTAAGAGATTCATTTTTTGTTTTAGTATATGAGGTTTTCAGAAAAAGATTGCTGAAGGGTGAAAGCTGTTGTAAAGGACAGAGAAATGCACACTGACGTGTGAATGTCTGGCAGAGAGCTGAGGGCACAGCTTTGGAAAACTGGTGGTAACAGTTAAGAGCATTTTGGTTTTGGTTTTTTTTTTTAATGTGGTGAAGTCGTCTTTAGTCTTTGACTAGAAAACTCATCAACTAATTTTAAAAAACAAAATAATTCATATTTCAAAGAATTATTATTGGATTTCAGAATGATAAGAAGTCAGGTTAAATTTGATCCAGTCTGTAAGTGGCAAACTGTTATATAACCTATTGATTTTTTTTTTTCCAAAGTCAGGAAGTGGGAGATCAGAATTTATCTAATGATGAGTTTATTCTTTCATACTTATTTTCATGATGATTTAACAAAGAAATTCTTAGTAATGTTTGTTATAAAATTATCTGTGCTGGATTTAGAAATTTGCATGTAGGAGTTCATTGTAATACATATAATGAGAAAATAAACCATGACAGGTGTGTTTGTCTAGAATCTCACCATACTGGAGCCATGCCTATTCTTTTCTCATCCATTATTCACTCAGTGAACATCGACTGAGCCCCTGTATCAGATAAGAAAGATACCGTTTCCACTCTCTCCCATCCAGATTTCAATTTACTGGAAAGAGTATCCACTCATCTCAGTGATTTTTCTCTCAAAAATATCTAGTGTGTTTTATTCACTGTTCATAAACAATTGCAGGACCTTGTATCAAATTCCTTTTTAAAAAGATATTTAGGTCAAAAATTTTAATATTTGGGCTTACGTAAAGTAAGAAAGAAAGGTAAGAAATAGTACTTTGAAAAACAACTTTTAGATACCATCAGTTTGTATTACTTCTATTTTTTAGGTTCCTACAAACTTGATGACTTTTGAGTAAGAGCCTAAGAAAGAAGAGGTGAACGGTTGCTCCTCCGTGAGAGTGAGGACTGATGTGAACCACCCTGTGCCAGGAAGAGCCCGGGGCGGCGCAGCCTTTGGAGTTCTGAACCAAAAAGCACTAATTTCAGGGAATGAAGTGAAAGATTCCCAGAGAACAAATTGGAGTTGCAAACAAACTGCCATGGACCCATGCTTCTTATCTCTGAACTGACCTGTGGAAACCACTGCCTTAAAAGAGTGAAAGGAAAACCAACACGAAACACCAAATAGTGTGTGTGAATCTTCTGGCGGTGCTGTGCTTGGAGTAGACCGTAGCTCATTTGCATTTCTTTTAACTTTGTACTGATTTTGGAGGGGGGAATCGCCTTTTTTAGATACACTTTAAAAAGGAAAAACATATTTCTTATGGGTTCCGTCAGGAGCTGGTTTGAACTGAGGCGTAAAGATGCTCTAACCTAGTGGGATTCTACCAGCAGCCCCTGGAAGGCTTGTTCAGCCTCCAGTAGTCGCAGCCTCGCTCGCTTCTCCCAGCGCGAGTGTAGGAATTAGACGTGTTCGTAATGTGAGTTGTTGGGGTTTGTTTGGGATTGGGGAGGGGGGTGCGGTTGTTTTGTTTTGGGCGAGGGGAGATTTTTTTAAACACTAAACTTCTGAAATTTAGTACTGTATGGGGAACATTATTTCCTGCAGGAGGTATAAAGGCTGAGTGTTCGTATGCCAGACGCTTTTTTCAAGTGGGCTTCAGGAAGCATGGCCGCTGTTGACCAGGTTTGAGGTTGAGCCTCTATGTGAGTTCATTGTTGGAGCACAGAGCTGCGTGGTAGGAACTGCAATCCCGACCTAAACTTTCCTGAGCTTTTACAATAAGTACATTTTTCACGTCAATAGATTATCCCTTCTGCTGGTCACAGGTGATTTTTATCATCAATGTGATGTATTAAAATTTTTTCAGGATATTTTCTTTTACAGTGTTTAACGTGCACATTGCCAGTTATTTTTTATTGTTATTCATATTCATTTTTTTGTTCAATATGAGATTCCAGATCACATTTGTTAGAGATTCCACGTGTATATGTATGTATGTATTTTATTGTAAAGCATACAAAATAATTTTAAAAGGGAAAAAGGTGAAAGATTGAGATTCTGGGAATTTTAGGTATCAAAACTTTCCTTCTTACACAACTTTCCTTTATTACAAAACATCTTTCTGAAAACTTACTGTAGGTCTCTACCACAAAACCATGTTTTGTCAGTAGTTGACCAAGCAGTTTTGTGAGAGCTCTTCTATGCAGTAACAGATATAACTTCCAAAATAAATGTTGAATTACGAAAAGAAAAAAGTGTTTGAAAGTGAGATGCCTTAGAATTTTAGCAAAAAATGGCACTTGGACAAAGGCTACGTGTTAGGTGTTGTAAACTCATGAGGCATCGTAATTTTAGCAGTGGCCCAGAGTAAGATGCTTTTTGACTGATGTCTTCTAATTCTGTTACTTTAGGCCTCACACAAAATTTCTCATATTTGTATTCTTAGAGAATTTTATACCTTTTTTTCATCATAGGTATTTCACTCTTAAATCTGTGAAACTTAAAAAGAAAATATTGCCCACAGAATAATTAGCTAAAAATCTATCCAAGGGAAAATAAAAGAGCTTTTTCTGAGTACTAAGTTTGTAAATTTAGTTTTCTGTTTGGAAAGGATATTAAGAGTTCAGATATTTCTCTCATACAGTATAGTTAAAAATACCATTATTTCTGGGTTTATGAAAAGTGACATGGGCTGGAGAAGGCAAAATGTTGCCTGTACTGGATGATTTTTCAGTTTATGACCTCCCAAGCTTAACCCACGTTGGGTACATAGAAAGACACCATCTGCATAGCCAGCAGTATTACTATGTAGACCTTGCGCATCTTACTTTTATTTTGCTTTGTTTAAAAAATTCCTTAATTTGTTTATTTCTCTTCAGAAATGTATGTGCTTTTTAAAAAATATTGTGGTTGAGAACCCTGTGGATTTTTTACTGTTGTTATTTTGTTTGTCATAAATAAGCTAAAATAGATATGTTGCAGGTTAACCATATCTGTGGAGATATGCAACTGGAAGTCAGAGCCTGACATGACACAGTTTTGCCAAAGAGAGAGCTAAACTGGAAGATGTGTTTGATATTTTCAGCTGTAAATGTTAATGGGTGCTTGCACAGAGTGAGAAATAGTGTTCAGATTTGGTTAATAGTTCATATGTATAATTGTGGCCTCTGACTGAATGAAACTCTTAACGTCACTGTGCAGTAGACGTCGCCCTTGTTTTTCTGTCTTCAAATTCGTCCATTCAAAATCTTAGTCATTGCTTTTTAAGATTATTTTAGCATTTGAGGCAAATGGAAACCAGTGAGAACTAACATAGTATAGGTGAGCTTTTTATCTCTAATTCACCAAATTATATCTAATAATAATTCAAGCAAAGAAAATATGTCACCAAAATATATTAAATATTTGGGTAGTTTATTAGGTAGTGTGAAGATGAAGTTTTTGTCCTCCTATTAGGTCTACCCTTAATAAATTAGTAAATTAATGACTTGAAATCTGGACATTTCCATCAATATTAAACTCATTTGTTTCTCTCATAGCCAAGAAGAACTAGTTAGAAATTCCAATATAATTTAAATTTAAGCTAGTTTGTGATAGGATAAGCATAATGATTGGCATATGATACAGCCTGGTATAGTAGTGTATAATACTAACCAAAACACCATTTGAGGCGCATACCATTTTTAACAGTTATGTTGAACATGGAAGCTTATTTTTCACATGGGGGTAGCATGACAGCTTTTGAACTAGAACTATGAAAGTAACTGTGTAACGACCTTCCAGAGCACTGTTTTTGGCTTCGTGCTCCTTCTGTGTTTGGGCGCTGCTTATTTTCAGAGGTATTATTTTTAGTGTAACCTCCAAACTGTAGGAATTGAAAGAACTGATCAAACACACTTTCCTAATCTCTTTTCTTCACTATGTAAATATTATTTGTGTAAACATTACAAAAAGGGATCCAGACAATTTGAGTATTTTTTTTTCTCCCTAGGCATGTGCTTCAATGACAAATTTGTTTTCCGTGTGGAAAACGCCATATGACTATTGCACTACCTTCTGTATGACTGTTTCGGTATTGGATCTTTCTGTGTGTCAAGAGTTGGGGTGTCCATAGCTGCAAAGTTTTTGTAAGTGGCTTTATTCCTCCTCTAGAAGATTTATAAAGGAGCCCAAAGAGCACTATTGTTGCAGAAGGAAAAATGTTTACAGTGTCTAGTGTATACACTCCACACGTTAGTTGAAACCGGGGCCCTCTAAGAGCAGCCTCGCCTTTCGGTCTCTTGGGATTCCTAGAATTTACCTGGCCAAATGACTTGAGCAGAAGTCTTTTTTTTTTTTTTAGGTTAGATCTGTAAGCTATATGCCTTTACTACTGAAAACAAAGCTATAGGACATTGTATTGATTGGAAATCAATAATAATGGTAGATTTAGTCCATCAACTGTTTAAAATAATATATCCTCTATGGATTTCCTTCCTGTTTTTGAGGCGCATTCCTTTATAACCAGTTTTGAAATCACCATGTTATCTTCTGCAAACAAGGGGTACCAGTGTTGCTTAACGGAAGATGATCTTTAATGAAAGGAATCGTCTGCTTCAATGGCTTTTGAAATAATTGGGTCCCTTTTTGAAAATGAGCATGAATCTCCCTGTCTCTGGTGGAACGGTAGTACTGCTGTTGCACGAGTAGATGGTATCAAGCAAGGGTGAGGTTTGTCTGTCTTTTTCAGTGATCTTGTAGGGTTTGCTTTTAATTTCTCTCTTCTTTTGTATTATTTCTTTCAAACATAGTAAATTTATGATTTTACAACCAGAATGGTATTCTGTTTTTTCTAAGCTTGGAGATACAAACATTGTTATTTAATCTCATCGATGATAATAGTTTTCCCTGTGAAGTCAACCTTTCCAAAATGATTCAAGTACTTTTTGGTTTCGCCTCCCTAAAAATGGCTTGTGTCTAAAGTGACCATTTGTTTCTATTTAGAGGATTCCAATGAAGGAGATCTGTGCATGCAAACTCTTAAGCTTTATTGAAAACAATTGCATTACACCGGTGTCTCAAGTTGTAGTGTGAGGGAAATTTGGTCAGTGCCTTATCAATTCGAAGACCAACTTTAGGGCATCAAGTGTGACAACCGTTTGCCCTCTTTCTCCTCTTATTTCAGGAGTGTGTGCTCTCCCTCTCGCCACCAGCTTACTCTTTCTCACAGCAACTCCCAGAAAGTCTGTACAGATACCTCTGGTAATGGTGCAGCCCTCCTTGGCGCTGAGTCTTTTTAGACAAGTTCCCTCCCTGCTCCTCTCCTCCCAGGGTAGGAAATTAAAAATAAACCCAGCCAAATAAACTCTTAAGAACAGCTTTGAAGAGCATCCATCTAGCTGAGTTTATTTTTATTTTGTGTTACTGATGTTGTTTTGAGCATAGATTTAATTATAAGGGCTTTCAGAAAAATCCCTGAAAGAGTACAATATAGCCAGAAAGATTTGTTTGGGCTTTATTAAAACTACTAAAATCTTGTAGTGAGAGTCCTTTTGTCCAGAACATTCTTATATTTAAATAAGACTCAGAACAAACAAGCTTAACCTACCAGTTATTGTTTATTCGGAAATATTAGCGCAGGAAAGTGAAAACAACTCCAACATATAAATTATGGACAAGTTAAGAGACTAAACAAGCTTCCTCAGTAAAAGCATAGCTTGGCAAGATTTTGCTGCTTTGAGATGATTGCAAGATCTGGAACTACTGTTGTTCAACTGAGTCAAGATACTGTTTTCACGTTTTTTAAAGGGCTAGTGTGTTCCAGAGCAGGCAAGTAGACACAGTCTTTAAAGCCAGATGAAAAGTTAACTGGTCCTTGAGGGTCATTAGCAGAATTTCAGTTTTAATTCTAGTCATTTGGAGTACAAAGTGGTGATGGGGTTAAAGGAATACATAATTAGAGTGCTTTGGGATTGAACTTTTTTTTAACAGACAAGCAGAAAATTTCATAAGTATTTTAGATTCCAGGTAACAAGTATTGAGTTCCCCTGAAGATATCACCTATTAGAACTACTCACAAATATAGCCCAGTAATTATTGACTCATTAGGTCTGATAGAGTAGCTGATAATAAGTCACCAGACTCTCAAGAATTTCTACACCTGGATTATTGACAAATTCATTGTTTTCCATTCCAGCCTACTCAAGGTGGGGGAGAGGGGAGGGGGGACATCCTTCATGATGTAATCTAAAGAAGATAAACATCTGTGGGGATAAATATCCAATGATGATAATGTACAGGGAAACACAAGCCATGTTTGTTCTCTTTGTCCCGGTTAACTTGAGGCACTCCAGCGATCGCGGCTCCACTGCACTGTGGCCTCCCTGAGGCAAGTGCAGCTTGGTTCCTCTCTCGCTTTTTGTTTCTGTTTAAAATGCAAATGTGAGTGTGAGATCTTCAGTGTGTTTGCATACGCTAACTTAAAATGAACTTAAGTACCGTTTTCTGAAATATTTCTATTGAAATAAATTACTTAAAAATATAGATTGTGTGGGGATAATTTGTTACCATATTTACATTTTTGTCATTATATCCTTAGCTTTTAAATAAATGCTCTAACTTGATTTTTTTCCTCCTCCTGAAATAGTCGGCAAGGTTTTTGTTGGTATGGGAAGCTGCTGCCTGGGTAAACCTCATGGGCTCTTCTCTGTCCCAGAACAAGGATGCACCCTGGCATGCTGACAGATGGGGTCTTGGGGAATAGGGTCAAGGGTATAATATTTCCCACTCCATCTCCCCACTCCAAGTCTGTGACATGCTATGAGCAGTCCCCAAAGAGGCCCTCTTTGCTAACACTGTATTTCATGAATTCTGAGACATGACATTTTTTCACATTTTACCCTTTCTGTAAACAGAATGCGCCTTCCTGCCTGTGAAGCCTTAAATTGGAAGTACAGAAGTACCTGTGTCGAGTCTCTTGTAAGTCACTGGCTGGAGTGTTGGTTATGCCCTAAGAATTCCACATGAGCTTACCTCTAAGACTTGGGAAACCTCCAGACAGGACCGAACACCCAGTGTTTGGGCAAAGCATAACTCAGTTTTCAACAATTTTCTCACCTCTCTAGTAGCCTTTGAAAATTTTCACTGTCCCTGTGCTGGAACCAAAATTGAGTGACAGTTCTCTGATGGGGTCAGCCCGTCTCTGTCTCAACGTGGTGCCGCCTTTGTCTTACATGGGTTTCCATATATGCCTGCCGAGTTTCTGGGTTCCCTTCCGTTTCCTTAGTTGTTTGTCCCTGAGCCAGGACCATATTGCCTTCATTTCTGTGTCGCTGTCTAAGTCTAGCTATCTGGTGAGGTGATTACATTGTACTTCAGATTTGCCTTAGCTGGTCTTGACCCTTCTGTCTTCCCTGTGAATTCTAGGATCAGTGTGTCGTGTTCAGTGAAAACCCCATTGGTACTTTTATTGGAATTGCCTTCAATTTATAGCTTAATTTGAGAATTAACAGTTCTGAAAAGTTTATTCCTCTCATCTATGAACACGAAATGTCTCTCCCCTTATTTAGGGTTTTTAATGTCCCTGAGTGTTTTACGATTTTCTCCCTTCTGGTTTCACACATCTTTTACTAGTTTTCTGCTAGCTGAGCTGGTTTTTGTCTCTGCTATTAATAGGACCTTTCCTGGTGCGTTTCCTCACTGGCTGTTGCTCATGTGTAGGGCTCCTGTTGATTTTTTTGTTAGTGCCCATATCCAGCGGCCTTAGTGGACTTCCTTATCTGGTTCTAATGGTCTGTCCAGTATAATTCTCTTGTCATATTAACTGCAAGTAAGGTGATAAACTAGGAGAAAATACTTGAAGTTTCTAAAACACAGGATTCATGTCAAGAATATACAAGAGATTTTTGCAAGTCAGTAAGAAAATGTATTCAGTAGAAAAATGTGCTAAAGGATATGAGTAAACAATTTATAGAAGGAAGCCTGTGTGGCTAATCTGTGAAAAGATGCTCAGCCTCACTAGTAGAGAAATGCAAAGTAAGTCATCAGACAGCTGTCACAGTACATCTATCAAACTGGTGAAAATTAGAGATCAGGTTATACCAGTTATGGTGAGGCCAGGAAAAACTGGAATCATACATGCAGGCACGGGTGTAAACCAGTGATGCCGGGCCAGAGAGCATTTGGGCGGTCTTAGGGAAATTATGTATATAAGAACATAAGAATTAAGAATCCTAGCGCCAGCCTGGTGGCCTAGTGGTTAAGTTTGGCGTGCTCCACTTTGGCAGCCCGGGTTTGGGTCCCAGCGTGGACCTAGGCCAGTCATCAGCGACCATGCTGTGGCAGCATCCCACATACAAAATAGGGGATGATTGGCACAGATGTTAGCTCAGGGTGAATCCTCCTCAAGCAAAAAGAGGAAATTGGCAACAGATGTTAACTCAGGGAAAATCTTCCTCAGCAAAAAAAGAAATCCAACACTGGATCACATACTAGCTGCATGACCTTGAGCGGGTGACTTAACCTTCTTTCTCAAGTTCGTCGTCTGTAAAATGTACACAATGACGGAACCCACCTCATAGATTGTAAGGCTAAACTTAGCTCCTACATCTAACGCCCCTAGAGCAGGGCTAGCACGTCAGACGCACCGTCAGGGTCAGAGACAGTGCCGTGTACACACTCTGTACCTACCAGTTCTGCTCCTGAGACAGGTGCGGGGAGTGGGATAGGGGTGAAGGGGAAATTTTACATAGAACAAGAGAGGGGTCTTTGCATAGTTGTCACAGTGAACGGAGAAGAGATAAGCCAGGTATATTCATCACAGACATAGTGGCAAGTAGAGAAAAACATGAAGAGAAGCCCCCTGTAAGTGAAGCCCCATTTATTATTGTTAGTTATTAAGACCAGTGTTTCACCCACATGGGGTGCTGTTTAAAACCATGACTTCTGAACACCACCCCACATCTGGTAGATCAGACTCTGAGGACAGTGCCTCATGCACAGTAAAGTATGAATTTGATCTGGGCTGATTTGCCTAGAGCCCAAGCTCGACCCAAAGGAACAGTTGCTGAATTTGCTTTGTTATTGCCTAATTCTCAAAGCCAAGTTTTTCGTCCAGTTTGGATTCAGAAACCATTAGCATCTATATTAAGCTGTTGCAGAAGAAAGACAGACAAGCAAGCTGCTGTTTTTATTGCCAGAAACTATTCTGAGATTTTAATGTAAAAACAGAACTCTTTTCCATTAGCTGTGGAAGAAAAACCTGGAGATTCACTGTGAGTTTCTTCCATCCTAAGCAATTGACAGTAAGTACAATCAATCAGTTAATCGATGATCCTCTACCAGGCACTAAGTTCTAGACTAGCCATGTTTTATGACCTTATGCAACCTAAAGCACATTTTAACAAGTCCTAACAACCATACAAATATGGGGATGGAATTTCTATTTTGAAAGTGATAAATGACTATACTTTTGAGTGTGGTGGCATCTCCCTGGGTCTTTGGGATGACAACGTAAGAAAAATTGCCAAGTGTGGGCTGGTGCAATTTGAATTGAGACCTTTGATTCTAGCCTAACTAGCCAGCTAGTGAAGTTCTGTGTCTCATTCCAAATCAAGATAATTTACTGCACTTGGGTAACATAAATTTCATGTGATTCCTTAGTTTTACTAAATTAAAACTGATTCGCCTTTTAAAAGAAGACTCATTTCTGGTTTCTCGTTCTTCCTTCTTTAAGAAGAGGTTTATGTTCTTTTCACATCAGTTAAAATAGTCGGTAGATGCCGTTTGTTTGAGCCGACTGGTGGCAAGAGGGTCTTCTGCATTAGAGGGACTTTCCTTGGGGCCCATCCCACTGTCTGAGGGTGACTTGAGTCGCTCCGTTACAGTTCAAGCTGCTTTTACCTACTTCCTCTGTCTGAACTCACAGAAAAGGGAAAAGGACAGTTAAGGGGACACATCAAATGATGAGAGCGTTTCGTAACAGTGAGCTGTGTGTTTTGAAGTGATGAAGAGGACTTCTCAAGTAACACTAACCCACAGCAATTTAGAAACCATCAGTGTATACTTGTTTCTGAAGGAGGTAGTGAGCTTTCCAGCCTAATTTAAGTTGTGGGAGTGGAGTATCTCCAGTAGCATCTAACCCAAATCATCTCTCTTCCCTCCTGCGTCTATTTCTACGTTTAACCTCTCAGGTTAAGCTTTATTTCATTTTTTGTCATATGTGTCTCCCTTTTGGATTTCTACTTAATCGTTTACAGTACAGTTGTCTCCCTTCATATTTATTTAAATCAGTGGCTCTCCACCTTGGCTGCAATTTAGAATCATCGAGGGAACTTTTAAAAGTCCCAGAGGCCAGTGTGCACATCACACCAAGTATGTAAGAGCTGGAGGGCGGGGGCATTAGGGTACAGGCAGTAATCATTTTTTTAAAGCTCCCCAGATGATGTGAATGTATAGCCAGGGTTGGCAACCAATATTTGGATTATTGGTCTCTAAACCTTTCAGAGACTTCGGACAGTGGTTTTCAGTCTTTAGAGGGCACCAGAACCCCCGGAGGGCTTGTTAAGACTTAGATTGCCAGGTCCCACCTCCAGAGTTTCTGATTCAGCAGGTCTGGGGTGGGGCCTGAAAACGTACACTTCTAACAAGGCCCCAAGTGCTGCCGATGTCTGGATTGCGGACCGCACTTTGAGAACCACTGGAAATGAGGAAGTGGATTAGAAGGCGGCCCTGGAGGACCCTCCTAAGCCGTGAGTGTGCAGCTTCATCCCTGTGAACGAGAGGGGCTGCCGCGGGGAGCGTGGTCCACGTGCTGGGTGATAGGAGGGCCGGGAAGGAGAAGACAGGAAGCTTGGGATCTTGCTGAGGAGGCAGAGCTCGTGGCTGGGCAGCAACAAGGCTCCCAGCCGCTGTGGAGTGGCAGTGGGGTTGGGGCTGGGGACGTCTTCAGCCACCTTTGATCCCAGGCAGATCACCCCTCCTCCTTGCAGCTCAGTGCTGACTTCTGCAGGATTGGAGCTGTTTCAACTGTGTGTAACAATGTATTTACTCACAAAGGAATTATTTCAGAACATCCATGATTCCCTTTTCCCCCCCTCTCACAACAATAAAATAAAATATTTTAGAGTAACAGGGAAAAAATTGTTTTGTGTTTGAATGCCTTAGGCAGGGCCACTCACTCCAGCTCACCATAGTGCCCACCACTCCCTATAGTCTTCTGACCAATTTTCTTGACCAACCTAGGTGTTGTAATGTGGTGCCTGGAACTGAGGCTCCCATTTTGCGACCCAGAGGGAAGCTGGCCTGAAAGCAAAGATGTCTTCAGAGCAGAAGGGGAAGATGGAAAGAACCTGGGTCCTTAGTGATTTCCTCGTCCTGCTGAATTAACACAACCCAAGAAGAGCCTTATTTCTGAGCTTCCTGTGTATAATAATAATCTCTTTTTTTAAAGAAATAAAAGGAAATAGGGGAGAAAGAGGAGAAAGGATAGAAAGAGGACAATAAACAAGGAAGGGAAAAATGGCAGGCCACCTTTAAGACTTT